AAGAGGAACATTTTACACGAACATGTAGTCCTGATTCATCATGTTTTGTAGTCTTGACTGCCACTCTCACGTCAGCAGTCTTAATGAGTGCTATGTTTCCAGAGCCTGGGAACCCGTCCACCATGTTGACTTAAAATGTGGCCTCTGCCCAACAGGGCATGCTTTTGTTATTGTTAGACTAAGAAGATATAGCTTCACTAGTACTGACTCAAAACAAGCTTGCAGAAAGGGGCTGGATATGAACGTTTCTCTATTGAAGTGAACAGCTCTAAGGTGCAGTTTCTCCTTTCACTCCAGATACTAAAATACAAAGCAAGAGACTTGGCAACACTATGAACAGTCATAAATTCTTCATTTTTTAATAAATATACTGACATCTGAATCTTGCTGTTCTCTGACTGACACAGATTTTACAGCACAATACATCATACCAGTAAAGTGGACTGACTGTTACAGTAAACAATATCATGTTCTTGAAAAATAATCTAGTGGGTGAGGATGTTGAATCATGTCTACACGAGACAAGACCCCCTCTATCTGATGTCTGCTGAGTCCTGCTTTCAACCTCCGACAACTCATTTTCTATACATACATACAGGAAACTGAATAGAGTAGAAAACAGAGAGAGAAGACAGAGTGAGGTATGACATGTGGCAAAGGGCCTCATGTTAGAATCACACCTGGACCGCCCATTTGAAATACAATCCCCTCTGCACACAGGGGAGCACAGTGTTACTGCTGGTGCCTCAAGTCTCAATAATTGGACATGTATTTCTGATTTTGAAATTAATTTAAAAAAGTTACAGTTCTTCCATTAAGAGTAGTTCATTCTTGTCACTTAAGGAGCTGTGTGGATTGTAATAGTTAATTCTGTAGCCTGTACTGTTCTCAAAATGATCTAACTTAGCTGTTTAGAGTCACAGTAAATTGAAAATTTCCACCTCTGCCATAAACTGTTGCTACACAAAAGCCAATCAGAATCAAGTTTTCAACACAGCTTTATAATAAATCAGTGCAGTCTCACTAAAAAAATAAATTAGACAACAGAGGAGAAGGTATACATTTTTACCCCTGTAGTCCAAATAATTCATATACACTCCCTTCTGGGCACAAGTCCATTAGCCTCGTCACATTTCATTTGGTGAGCAAAAGGTTCTCTAATGGCGTGTGAAGAATAAAAGGTCAAACCCATTTAGAGCATCTTACAAAGAAAAAGTTAAGTATGTATAATTATAATGCTGCCATACTCTTGATCATGGCGTTGTAACCAATGTAAAATCTAGTCACTTAACCTTCACAAGGACCATAGTCGTTCTGTGAAAACTCGCAGAATTACCTCTGAAAGACACATTATGGAAGACTTTGATAAGACTACTGGTGGGAATTCACTAGTCTGGTAAAGCTCCAACCTCATTACTCGGCAAATACTTTGAAATTAGTTGAGCTGAAGCACTGATCTCTGACAGCCCACCTAATAGAGGATAAATAGAGCATTTCCTGTCGGCATCTCTCAAATGGGAGATGAGAGGATAAACACATAAAAGAGGCCATTCTTTAGCCAGATACTGATTATAGCCAGCGTCTGTGTTTACTTGAGACAGAACCAACTGAAGAAGGTATGTGCTTGTGTGTGTTCGTTTGTGAAAGTATCTAATATCTCATACAGTGATACTGGCAGGGAAAGCTATAGTGGCAGCACTTCTAAAAGCCCTTAAAACAGCGAACATGCCAGAAATATTAGAGAATAGAGTGCATCATCAATCACTTACTCAGCTGACTAGAAGCTTTTTGTTTGTTTCCCCACTGAGATTTTGCCCCTGTGCTTTGAGGTATCGTAGCTGAATTAATGTTGCATTTATCTGTGTCACTGCAGCTTGTGGTCTTGCTAACAAAGCCCTCTTGTCACTCTTGTAGTTTTACACATAATAAACTTGTCCTTAGTCGAAAATCTGAAAAGGCCTGAATACACAACTTTAAATGGGGAAATGTTATCAAGTAACCGTGTCTCGATGGCACCACCACAAACAGGGGCTAAATAATCATTAACCGGCCAACAGAGAGCTGGTTAATGATATCTTGTCACAGCTGACCTTTGAGGAGGCTGGAAGCCTGAGACAAGTAAAAAAAAAGAGGAAACTTTTGCAGCTGGCTGTGTCGTATCATTACCTCAGTTTCCTCTTTCGAGTTAAAAGACTGTTCAACAGAAGAGATTACCTGACATTGATGGGGCAGAAAGATGAAGAAACGAATATGAAATTAGATTCAACTAATGAACACATTTTCCTATCAGTCACCAACAGTAGTCTAGTTGTGAAAAAAATCAGGAAGGATGGTGAATTTCATTGTTTGGGGCAGATATTTTGGTCTTATAGTTACTAAAGCACAAAGATAATTATTATATTACATTATCCCTCAGATTGAGCTGTCCACATTGCTGAAACAACAACAGCGTCACCAGTGCTGCTCACTGATGTCATTTTTGGAAAAGGGGAAAAAAAAAATGAATTTTTACAAGCGCCGCCGCACCAAGAGTATTTTACTAAATATACGCAAAGCTCCCTGTCGAGGGGTTCTCATGCAAACAATCACAATATAGTGGAAAAACACATCCATAGCGGAAAACACAGTGATGGTGATATTTATTTATAGCAATGCAATGCAAAAATATTTACAAAAGTGCAAAAAAAAAGTCAAATACTATTTACAAAATGTAAAAGGCAAAAAGAAAAATTCCAAAAAGGCAACAGTTCCACTATAACTCGAGATTCTCACTCAAGAGAAAAAAACAGAAACACGACAGCAATACAAAACTAAATTTCACTGTTTCAAACTCCAGTTTTAAAGAAAGAAAGGCCCAGGAAGCTTTCTTTTAACCCCCTCTATCCCCTCCCAGTGAGTGTTATCAATTACATAAATTTGGGGAAAAAAAACTCATTTATTCACATTTAAACCATTTTTAACTTTTAGACCTTTTTTCTGAAAGTTTTTGCCATTTTAACTTAGGTTTTACCCAAATCAATGGAGCATTAATTTTTAGGGATTCATGGCAAGCAACAAGGGAATTATTTTTTCTTGCATCATGTGACCACTTTGACCCTCCATACTATCTATTTTACACAAGGAAATCACGCGCTCTGTTTCCTCATTTTGAAACATGAGTCGGCATGATTGCATCAATCGTCGTGAATGGACGCCCTGCAAGTAAGTGGAGGGATTAATATCTGTGTGGATGTATGTTTAAGTTAACTGATAGAGCTCAAAGTGTGCACCCTCGGTTACCCTATCCAACAGAGAAGGGAGGAGGAAAGTAACGTTGTTTGGTGGGTAATTAGCGACGCTGGCGTGGAGGGAAAAGTTTGGTGTGTATGTAGGTGTGTGTGTGGCTCCACGCGCTGCCAAATAGTTGTAATATTTCCACTTAATTGACAAAAATGGCTCAAAGCATGGAAAGTTGGGATGACCGTTTTAGAAGGGGGATGATTTTGACTGTTTTCATACTGGGGAGGTGCCCTCCCTCCTCATCCCCCTTCAATTCGAGTACTGGACACCAAGATGAGCCAAACCATTTACTAACCAACTGTGAGCAGGTATGTCAGTAGCTGCTTTTTACTTTCTGGACTACCTCGGTTAGAGTAAACTTGTCAGCAGAAACAGCTGAGGAAAGCAAACAGAGCAGTAAGCAGTGATCAGTTCTTACTGGTATGAAACATGTCTTCAGTAATAGTCAACCAAAGAACTTTTCCAGTGTTTGTGAACTCAAATGTGGAGGTTGTCTGGAAGCAGCAGGTTTGTAACAGTACAGAAATGTCAGCGCAGTCAAAGCGAGGAAAGAATAAGAGGATGGACAGATACTCCCCAAAAGTAGGGCCAAATATTTAGAGCTCCCTACAGCCTGCACTCTCTGTGTAAACAGAGGTTACAGATCAAACCTGAACAATAAGAATGCAAGCCAGCAATGCTGTTTGACATGGTACTTTTTTTATCATGCCAAGTCCTTAAAAAAAAAAAAAGTTTATACTTTATTAGTCATTTTTTTGCTAAAAACAAGGGATGATTGACAGCTCTGATCTCAAACTTGGGCTCTTATATACTGGCTTAGCAGAGTAAAGGTGAAACTGTGAGAGAGGAAATGTAACATTAAGTGACACAAGAGCTGTCCAACTTCCCGCAAGATTCTGTTCTGCTGGAGACAGAGTTGACCAAACAGATCTTTGACACGTTCATGTTTAGTGAAATGTGTGCTTTAATTAGTGGAGGGAAACCTGTCAGAGCAACCTGTCAGCCAGATTGCTCCAAAATACGTCATCAGTCAGTACATTTAAATGATTTATTAAAATCAATTTATTATCATTGAAACTGAGCTTTTTAAAAAACATAGTGACATGTCTGTTGATATCCCACTGAGGTAATCGTCCCATTGTTAGATTTGCAAACTTTCACAAATCAGATCCTTTTTTTCTTTATGCATGTATACACTCTGATTGGACTCAAACTGGCCTTAGCTTTCGAGGCATGCTTAACATTTTGTACATCAGGCTCTGATCTAGAAGTCAAACAGCATGAATATGTTAAAAGATATAAAAGATATATAAATTAAAAAAGAGAAAGTATTTTAGAGTAAGAAACGTCCAGAGCTGTAAAGTTATTTGTTTTTTCACCATTTGACATTCATGCAGTTAGCCACTCACTCACATACTTTTCCCTACGAATCATTTCTTACCTTGTGCTTGTAAACTGGGACAAAGACAGTGGTCGGTCATATTAGATCACAAGCTATAACCTTAGTGAAACTTAACTGTGTGAATAAACTGACTGCAGTATGTCATCACAAGGAGATATTTTGGCTTCACTGTATTACAATGGGAGTAGATTTGAGTGTACGGTCTGTACAGTTAATCGACTGGGGTTGGGTTATTATTCCCAATAAATGGTAAGAAGATAGATTGTTATTAGTGTATTAAACAAACAAACTTAATTTTTATTACTGTGAAATTTTCAGCCTCTGGTGGCTTCTCTGTGCAGACAGCAACTTTAATTTGTGGTCCAAACTCTAGTGTTATCAGAATTTTAAAGCTTGGCTCCAAATCTTACCATGTACATAACTTCTAAGATCAAAACCATGAGCTAATGAGGTTCACTTAAAGGCAAAAAATGACAAGGCATGGATAGGAAACCTGAACTGGAATTCAGCATCACAACGTATGGTATGCCACACAAAGCCTCCAGGGCTAAACACAGACATAACTTATGAAAATTAATGAAGAGAGAAGGGTGAAAAAAAAAGCTTGCTTATCTGCATGTTTCTGCCACCTGCATCCCTAATATCTTGTTTTCTGCCTGTCTGATGCCAGATTGGTACAGACAAAGCAGAGGTGCAAAGATGACCCTGAGCTGTCATTGTTTTTCCTACTTGTCCTTCCTTTCCTTCCTCCTTTTTCTTTCTCTCTTTCCTTCTTCTCTGGTCCTCTTTAGGGACGGCAGACTGCAGGGACAGGCAATTTTTCTGTTGCAACAGGGTAGAAGAAAAGTGTGTTTTAGCTCTTCCATTTGGAGATGCGCTGTGTCAAAGGAAGCAGAAAGTGTTTGGAATCACTCACCTGAAATGTCAGTGACTTCCTAACAGGGTGTCCATCAGAGCTTTTTTAAACTGACAAGGGAGCCATTAGGCAGCAGCAGCTCTGAGAGTGTGTCCTGTGGTAGGAAGGGGACTGAGATTTTTTTTCCTTTTAAATGCAGTACAGCAAACCTCGAGTGTGTGTGTGTGTGTGTGTGTGTGTGTGTGTGTGTGTGTGTGTGTGTGTGTGTGTGTGTGTGTGGCGTAAGTGTCAGAGGGAAAAAGGGAAGACAAACCAGCATCTGGATTTATCTGAATCTAAAATGTGTATTTACAGAAGAAAGGAGGTTATGGCTTGTGATCGATAAAGGTGATTTAATGTCTGAAGCTTTTATTATTTCAGCTGTTGATGATGTACACTGAACACACACACACAGACACACACACACACACAGACACAGGTGCAGCCTCCATGACGACACTGCACTGCATGCAGCTTGGACACAATCTTTAATCATCCTGAGGTCCGCTGCAGAGGGAGAATATTCACTGTTTGTGATGCAGGAACAAACACAAACACAAGGACACACACACGCCCATACACACATTTCCCCCCACCCTTAGCCCACCCCCCTGCAAACCTGCCGTTCTCTAGTCCATGATGTAATGCTATCAGACCCCTCCTCTGCTGTCTCTCACACACTCCTCTCTCTCTCCTTCTCCTCATTCGATTGGTGGCTCCCGCCTGCATCTGCTGGATCAGCTCTGACTCCTTCCATGCGCACACACATACACACACACACACACACATACTAATGCACACACACTCACACACGTTCATACGCGTCCACGTTCCTCACACACTCCTCTTACACATACACTACCAGGGGGATTCCTCCGCCCGCCACTGCAGCCTCTGCTTGCTCCACCTGCCTCCTCACTGTCTTCAGTCTTCTTCTGCCGTAGGGGGTGAAAAGCACGCGGTGAGTCCCTCCTTTTTCTCTAATGACAGCTGGCGATTATGGTCCACGATAAGACAAAAGGATGAAAGGACGTTGTTCTTTCCTGCAGAGAGTGTTGGACAAACACCGGGAGGCTTTGCTGCCATCCACTGCAGCCTGGGAGGAAAAGGAGGAGGAGGAGGTGTAGGAGGAGGAGGAGGAGGAATAGGAGGAGGAGGAGACGCTTGCTGCTGAGTTTTTGCTTGGAGTAATGAAGAGGTGTGTGGTTGCTCAGTTACTACAGATACCGGTCATCTGGGCGTCATGGCAATAGATTGTATTCAGTCAGGGTCTCGGCTCATTGTGCGTCTGTGTCCCAGTAAGGCGCAGGGAGCTGCTGGATGGTGCACGTGTGTGTAAGTGAGATAAAAGATCTGCTTGTGTGTATGTGTGCAGCTGTGTTTAAGGCTCCTAAATATGCTCCGGGGTGTTGTGTGTGATCCGGTTTCCTCTTGTGTCAATCACCTTGCTTTGACAGGAGAGACGCTGAATCACTTGAATGCAAAGCAAAGCTGCTTCTGTGTCTCTGTGAAGGTTTACTTCTGACTCCTGCCAGATGGTCAGGGAGGATATATTGGCTACAATCAAGCACTGACAGTCTCATCATGTTTGTATAGATTGTTTCTGTTGTGCCACTGAGAAGAAAAAAAAGGGTGTGTGCATATGGTGTGAACTCCTTCGCCTATGAAAATTGAACACTTGCATAGGTCTCTCTTTCCTCTCTCTGCTCCATTATGTACACTGGGCTCTTTCACTGTGCAGCTCAATGACATTGAGTCTAATAGGAAAAGTAATTCTATTATTGCCTGAGCTTTTGGCTGCTAAATGACACTTAAATGATAATGGAAGCAAGGGATGAAGTCACTGGTGCATTTTTCGCTCTGAACAGAGGATGGCCAAATTGTATTTAGTGCAGCAAGCTAACCTTTTACATCCAGTGTGTTCAAATGTTAATATTTAATCATGCTTGGTCTACTCCACATGTGGACACTCTCATGACTAATTCATCCAGATGTTTTTTCCCTTTTCATCCTTCATATAACTGACAGAAACACACTGCTTTTTCTGTATCAAAATAAAAGCCTTAAACTGCTGCTGCTTTTGCAAACATCTGCATCATTATGTCTTCAAATGACTGGCAAATCTAGAGGGAGGGGTACTCAATCAGATGTCACCAGCTCACTGAGGAGACAGTATATTTTCCATGCTAAATAATCTCCCTTTTGTTATCCAATTAAATAAGAACCAAATGAGGTTTCCTGTGCTTTTCAGCTGGCTCATTATTATCATTAATTGCAGCTTTAACCACACACAAAAAAAAGGGAAGAAACCCACAAGGATATTTTGGAAGTCAGCTGGCCTTGTTCAAATGATCTGCCCTCCCTAATGGAACAGCATGTGCAAATATGTTGGTGGGTTTTTAAATCAATGTTTAGCACATGAAACAGCTCTTCCTCCAGGCTGTTTAGCTCTCAAACACTCTGTAGGAATAAATGGAAAGTAATTAGGATGCCAGTCCAACAGCAAAACAACAGGCAATGAGGAAGTGCAGAGCAGCTCCCATTGGCTGTCAGAGCTTTACAGGGGGTTAGTTTGTGGTCACACTGAGATAGTTTATTGATTCTTTAAATCCTGTAACAACCCACTGCCCCAAAGACCTTTAAAATTAAGACAAGGAGTTAATGTTGCACTAATCCTCTGCTGCGAATGAAGTAAGCAGTTAATCAGATGTTATTATTCTTCCTATAGCTGTTTATCTGTCAATAGATCATCCTCTGATTGTGTTTTTCTATTCTCCAAAGACTGTCTTCAGAGTTTTTTTTTTTTTGTAAAGTAAAGCTAAGGGTTTAGGTCTCATGCCTTGGTACATAAAGCAGGCTACAATTTCATGCTGCCTGCTCAGTTAATTTTGGATATTCCCCTCACTAGCTGCACTGACGTCAAACCAATAATCTGAGGGAAATATAAATATTTGAACCCACTCAAGGCAGAAAAGTGAAAAACTAGAAGTAAAAGGTCAATTTGATCAATATTTCATCAACTCTACCCAGTGTGTAACTGATTTGTACCCTGAATGCAACACAGAAAGTGATTCAGATGCTTTTCCCCGTCAGTGTAGACGTGGTTTTATTGTAGTTAGAGTGTTTGTGCTTTTTGTTCTATATACAGGCTTTTATGTGAGTGCTGTCAGCTGTTATTTTCCCTCTTTTAATCAAAGATTCAGAGTGTTTGATAATTTTTTTTCTCATTCATTCTGAACAGACACCACAAAGTATTCCTAAGAATAAAACATGTGATGATGTGGGGAAAAACCAGACCCAGGACAGATGCTCTTATTCTTCCATCCTGACAACTCCAAAGTATTCACTGTAGCTGTCCTCCACTGACTTTTAAGGACAAGACAGTTCCAGTTTTGCCAATGTGTAAATATATATTCAAGATGATTTGTGACTGAATTTAGTAACAATGAGTATAGAGCCCTTTTAAATAAAGCATAAAGAGGCTACAGTAGCTTATCAGTAGGTTTAACAGACACTTATCTGAAGTTTGAGAGCAAAGGGAAACAGATTCTGTGAAAACAACAAAACAATAGGGCAACATGAAAGTGTCAAAATCTGAGACATCATTTCTCTTTGTGTTATAAAGACTAAATTCATTATTTAACATTACAGCTGGTTGTCATTGGCAGGAAAAGGGTTCAAGGTTTAACTATAATTAAACTCATTTATTGCAAATAAAGACAGCCCAGAGAAATGCAATATGGCCCCTTTGTGTGTCAAGTGATTGTTGGTGTAACTTCAGCTGATTCGAACCACGTAATAGATCTGTGGTACACATCCTCCTCAACTATGGTTCAAAGAATCTTAGTAGAATCTTAAACTCAAATCACAACAGGAGTCCTCTGTTTTATTATTATTTTTATTAATGATGAATTTCAAAAATGACCTAAACTATAGCAGCTTACAAGGCTAACTAATCTGCAACGACATTGATAACCTCACTGGGAGAAACATGCTGTAAATTCGGAAATGACGCCAATACAAAAACACATAAACACAGCCAACACATGCTAAAGAAAAACACTTTAAACCAAGACATTAAGGTAGAAGTGCTACATGTCTCTAAAGGCACTCAGTGGAACAGTTTATTAGTGATATGAACTATTTTATTTACGGTGAAACTTCACTTCAGCTAACCATGATTGCTTGTTTAGATGAGCACTTAACTGCAAAATAGGGATGAATTCTTAAACTACAGTAGCTGCAGGGCTTACTGAGCTCCTCAGCCAACAGACACTCTGTGTTAGAACTCACCGCTAACGCTGTCTAATATTACCACTAACAACAATGCTAACATTAGCCACAATTAGGAGCAACAACATTAGCATGGCTGGATGTCAGTTGTGTCGGTTCTCTGTACGCTCTCCACTGGCGGTATAAGTGGTCTGATAACTAAGTTCATTGCCGTCTTCTTTGCCCCCTCCCGTCAATGATTAAATGCTATAAACTTGTTCACTTTGCCTCCCCTGTGGACTGTAATTGTTGTAGTAAAAATAATCATCTTTTGCATATATTTTCTCTTTGTGCATCCTTTTTGAACTGCATCATTTAAAGGTACAGGGTGTATGAATGTAAATTGGTAGTAGGGATGCAATGATAGTCGATGTCGACAAAACTCGATAATGAAAAAAGTCAACAATGAGTTTCATTGTCGACTATTGTCGCCATACGTGTTTTTTCCAGTGGAGTGCGGCATCTTACTTCATTACTTCATTGATCTCTGCCTCGAGTCAAACATGCGCAATAGCGTCTCTGCTGAGTGGTAGGGTATTCAAACATGGTGGCACCAGCATCCCATACAGCAGCTACGAGTACACACTTTAGTCTAGATAAGATGAAAAAAATAACCTTTCGTATCATGGCAGCACGTCGGTGATGCATATTTGAGAAGGCACGAAATTATCCGATTAGTCGGCTAATCATTTCAATAGTTGATGACTAGTCGACTATTGAAATAGTCATTAGTTGCAGCCCTGTTTGGTAGTGTCTAGCTATCAGATTTAAGATGATCCCATGCTCACCCCTGTGGTTTGTGAAGCTCAAGTTTCGATGGTGGCCTTGAAAGATCAGAGGCTGCTGAGATGATCTTCTACATGTCATGTTTTGACGTTACTACTGTATTCCATTTCTTCCGAGTCTAGCATTCAAAGTGTTTTTATAAACTGCACACTGCGCATTTATTTGCTGTTGCTTTGTCTTTTGGTATCCCCTATTTTTTCATCTGAAGTAAGTTTTCTACCTTCACATTTTGTAAAACTGTTGCATCTAATTCAGAATTTGCAGCATATTTCTCTTTATGACTGTCATGGTCATGTTATCACAGACCAATAGCCTTGTCAGACACCATATTAAACAGTCAAACTAAGAATATGATTCCAAATCAAAGACTATTTTTCATATAAACACGTAGATGTCAGTGGCAATGTTCCAGTATACTCAATGTCTGCTCTAATGATGGTATGTTTTGAAAGTCTTAAAAAAAATCATGAATTCATGAATTTATTTCCAGTGCCTTGAGGCTTTCTTCCACAGCCCTCCCCCTCCCGCTGTGCAGCTGTGCAGCCTTGTAGCCGTGCAGGACCTTCACCTCTGCCCTCCTACTGCGGCATCAACAGTCTCCCTGCCTCCTTCAAACCAAGAAGAAAGAGCCAGACAAAGAAAATCTATGTACTGAGCAAACATACACACACATATACACACCACTATTTTCATTTCAACCACATGATCATGATATTTCACTCGGGTTCTCAGGGGGAAAGTAGCTCAAATTAACATGAATTAATCTCATGGCTTCCTGCAGAATTGGCTTTAATGTAGATGCAGCCCTCCCCTCTTTGCAGTCATGCACAGAAGGTGTCAGACAGCAATTATTGGTTCCTATTATTTACAGGACATGAAAGAGCATCTAAGTAGCTCAACTTGCTCCAGTATGTTTGTTTCTAAAATCTTTGCAAACATGTGAGACTCTTTTCCTATCCTTCATTATTCTTTTTCTTTTTTAAAAGATAGTCAGCATACATTCTCTGTGCTCTGCCACATCCTTTAGATTTATTTATAATTTTTACTTTTGAAATCTGTCTGAACAGACAACCCTGAAGCAAATCAGCGGGAGATTTATGATGAGCTGTGTTGACTGGTTGGCTGGTAAGACATGAATAAGTGAGGGGCCAAAAAAGCCTTAAAAACCTACTCAGGATTGATTGAACGTGTCAGGAGTGAAAGTAAGAGCCACTGGTGATATGATTTGCATCCCTTGTTTAATCACCTTCCCTGTCACTTTAAGCAGAGGCCTGCTCCTGATGTGTGTTAATCAGAGAGAGAGAGAGAGATGGGTGTGAGACTGCAGAAAAGGTTAGAATTGGATTTAAAAAAAAAAAAAACTGGTGAAAATATGGACATACACTGCCGTGGGATCATTGTGACTTTTATCTCGGCCTCACTGATGCTGTTTGCTCACATGTCCACAAATATGTAGACGAGTGCAGTCCCTGTTCTCATAAAGGACTGGCTCAACCAAACCAGGCCAGATAAAATATATTGTCTCACTTACTTCTAGTGGTGATAAGCAATGCGAGTAGTGGCCGTTTTGTTTATGTGTCTGGATCTGAATGTGTTTCTGTCTTTACCTCATTATGGAGGTGAAACAGATTTTTTTTGTGCTGCCTGTTGCTTGTAAATAAACCATTAATAAAATCTGTTTTGTAGTTTAAATGTTAAGGGAGGTGTACATGTTGTCCAGATTGTTTTGATTTAGTTATTCAGTTAAGCAGTATATGGCACCTTAGTCAATGTGTCAGTCAGCTGATCAGGTAAACACGTTGGTCTAGGCTGATATATCACAGCTTATATTGGTGGTGTTGTAAACCTGGTTGTGCAGGGTAACTTTTCCCAGCAAAACACACAAAAAAATATATCCAAAATTAATATGATATTTAATTTGATCATGGGGAAATGTTGCACAGACATTGGTGATCCAATGATGACCAATTTTTGGCATTTAGCATCTGCATTGAATTCAAAAACCAGTAGTTTTAAGTTTGCATTGTTTCTGCATGAATGTGTTTAATCCCCTCTTTGATTAGGACACACATCTGACCCCGAAACTGCTCTCGCTGGGGTGTGAATTGACTGTTTAATGCTGATGGCTGCTTTACATAGCAGCCTCGATCATCCTTGTATGATTCTGGTGTGAATGGGTGCATGTGACGTAATTTTAAAAGAGTGTTGAGTGGTTAGAAGATTAGAGCACTTTATAAACACGCTCCATTTGCAATTTAACCTTGTTTAGTTTTGTAGTAACTTGATGATTCGGCATTTTAAGCTATGATTGTAAACATACCAGATGTTTTACTAGTCTAACATCATCTTGTCACAGTAAGCATGTAAGTATGCCAATGTAAGAGTTAATCTGCTCTCTGCCCAAACACATGGAGAATCCTCTTTAAAATAACTCTAAGAAAGTCCTGTTGACTCCAAGCCTGATAGGTTGCTAAGGCTTTTTTTATTCTGTTTACTCTGGATCACAATCTAAGTAATCCTTCCAGTAGTTTGACATCAAATAAAAATATTCACAAAACCATGTGTTCAAATCCATGTTTCAAACATTTGATTGATGATTTTTGAGAGTGTCCAATGATACTCTTGACCCTGGTGATTCATAAGTTTAACCTGTGAAAAACAGCAAGCACCCCAGTAAAATATAGAAAAACAGTGCATAGAAGTTACTGACACCCATTTTTATTTCGGTACTAATCTTCAGATTCATTCATTTCTGTCAGTTAGCAAAATGTGTGACAAACAAATCATCCCAGTCAGCAGCGCCGGCAGCTTGATTTAAAATGATCAAAACAGCAAGTTATTCCTATCGATGATATGTGGTACACTTGTAAAAAGAAGTCAGCTCCGGTAGAAGTATAGAGAAGGGAGATGGGACACCTTCAGACCAGAGAGTGCTACGTTATTTGAATAGTCATGAATCATCAGTGAGGAGAGAGAGACGGTCTCCTGTGTAGAGATAGAGAGCGTGAGGAAGATGTGGGAACATTTCAGGGACTGTCAGAGCAGGACAAGGTGAGGACACAGGAATGAGTCAGAGTGCTGATGGGTCTGCTGGAGGCACCTGCAGCACGCTGCTCTGACATCATCACTTCCTGCAGGCTTGGAGCTCAGCGGTCAGGAGGAGTGCACCTTAACGCTTGTAGTCTGACCTTGTGACTTGTCAACAACTCTAACAGACACCATTCATAATATAATATAGAGAAATGTATCTGAAATTTTCTGTAAAACAGCCTTATACTATTGAATTGAATATACTACGCTGCTGACTGATGGAGAATGACTTGATCGATTTTTAGCTGAAAATCTGTTACACTCACAGGTTGAGCTGTAACCATAGTAACAGCGAGCGCTATAGCTGTCTTAAAGCTCCTGTAAGGAACTTTATCATTGTTTTGATTTGGAGCCTCCTGTGGACCAAGAGATGGTTCACCTTTTTGCCGCTCTTATCCTGTAAATTTGCAAATATTTTATATCAACAAAAAAGAACCTCATCTTACTGCCTTCAACCCTACATTGCCTTTTGTAAAATATTTGATAAATACTTTTATATACTTCTATCAAATCAATATGATCTACAAATTACTAAAAAACACACCTGAATACAGATCAATTAATGATAAAAATGTCCTTTTGTAGTTTATCAGTTTCCAAAAACATCTAATGAATCAAACGAGATAAATAAATATATTTGTTTTATTTTAAGGACATTTTGATTTTTGTTGGTTTTCAGTAGTAAGTGAAATAAACATTTCAGCTCCAAAAAAAATTGAATTTTCTGGCCATAATTTGTGGTGTCGGGCGTTAAAGGGCAACAAAGTCCAATACCTCATGCACTGCAGCTGAAAAATGCAAACGAAGGCTGTTCCTGTAGCCTGTTTTAACTCATCCATATGATGCCTATCCCTAAGAGTGGTTACAAGCACAGAAAATAATTTTGTAAAAATGATTAATTTTGTTGCTGACGTTTGTGTTTGAGGGATTGGTTTCCATTTCAGTGTGTTTTGTAACCAGCTCCTCCCATGACCTTTAAAATGAGCTGCCATTACTCAAGTTATAAAGTGAGTAATGACAACTAAGTTTGCTCATTTCAAGAAATGTTCAATGTTCTCAAAATGAGCAGAATTAGCTAATATTACCCACATTAAAAAGGAAATTTTCCACTCATATCCATGTGAGCTTTTCTGTTTATTCACTTTTATGACGTGACATTTCATTTATCGTCTGTCAGTTCTAAAAGTCACCATATTCCACTCTGTGTTTCATTAAGTGCTTGTTGACATCTTTCATGGTGTAGATTTCTCTGTTGTCACCTCCAGTTTTTGTGTCTCAGTCTTATATGCCTTTTCTTGAGTGATTAAATCTATTTTCTTGCATCTGCCACTGTAACCAAACCAACATTTATAAACTGTACTTGTTCTTTACACCAACAGTTTGCTAAATATTAATGTCTAATAGCCTCTGAGGTGAGTGGAAGTTTTGGGGTCTCCTGCTGTAGCTAGTGGTTATTTGGAGATGAGGAAAACACAGCCTTTAGCATTATTTTCTGTGTGCTGCTGCTCTTGTTTACAGTCTAAACAGCGACTAGAGGCACAAGAAGGGAATTGGATTAAAAAGAAAACTTCTTTAATTTGTATGTTAACTGACGAGTTATACTCAGTCTACCTGGATTTATTTAGATTATTTGCCAGTAGCATTCCTGCCTTAACGTAATGACAGATATGTCATGCTATTCATCATTGGGTATCTCTCGTTCTCTACCTTTAGAGACAGTTTGAATATTTTGTGCTCTTATGGTTCAGAAGTTACGGTACCGAGAAGCTAATGAGGAAAAGGCATGGCAAATCCTGTCGCCAGTGACAGGTTGGTAAAAATTACTACCACAATGCAAAGTCTGCATCAGACAATATGAGTCCAGGAGTGCATGGACCATGTATCCTTCATCTTTTACTTACCGCAGAGGGTATTCCTGCACACAACAGCAGCCTGTTCAAATGTAGTGGGTCAAAAATTCTTGGGTTGTAGAGAGTGCAAAGAATATTTAAGGCATTAAAAACTGTTCTCATTACTAATACATACTGCATTCATACGCAGATATTCATTTGTAAAATGTTTCAAGTTTCAATGTCAACCATTCAGAAGTTTTTGAGATATTTCAGTAAGGACCAAAGTGGTCATTCAACCAACCAGGATGCCCACTTTTAATTGCATACTAAAGAATACTCTGTTTATTAATATCTACTGCTCCACACTTTGGAATATCAAACCTTCATGCCTGTAAAGAAAAAAACATGCACAAAATTTGAGATTAAATAAATGTAAACTCAAGCCTGTGTATTAAAGAAAAAAAGAAGGTGTCTGTCTCAGTAACATAAGTTCGGCTCTGCTGTTGGCTTAGAGCATGTAGGAGGGATAAAATCACTTAATGTGTGAGTAAGACCCCAAATCTGGTGTTGTGCTGAAAGAGTGTGTCATACACTTAACCCTAATAAAAGCTCAATGGGTGGTGTGACCTTAATATGAATGGCTGCTGAATGCTAGGAGGTGCGTTCCATCCCATGACAAAGGGATATTATTTGAGGGCAGCAGCAGATTAAGAGTGATCGGGTCAACAACTAAGCCTTTGGGAAATGTAACCTCAAGGACTCTGATCCATCTATGTCCATTAATATTTTGTAAACACAGTCAGAAGTAATTCTTAATTGTGCAAAATGCTCAGAAGACACACTACAAAGCTCATTATTGGAGGACACTCAAGTTTTATCAAAGTACTTCACAAATGCGTCTTCAGACAGACATTTAGCTTGCTGCACTCTTATTCCTTTGTACACTACACTACACTACACTACAGCGAACAGGAAAGTTACAAAGATAACTCTGTAAGAATTCAGCCTGCTGATTGCTCCTGTCACCTTCCCCTACAAGCCAGACTTTTGTATAATTTGGTTGATTTGAATCTTCTCAGAAGTAATCCTTGATTAAATTTGTGGGGATTACTGAAGGCCCGGTAGATAAAGAGGAGCAACTGTGAACATGCAGTACAACAGAGAGACCTTCAAATATTAAAAAGAAAGGCAGAGACACAAAGCAAAAGAGAAACACAGACATAATTTTGACCCCACCTGCAGCTGACTTTTTTCTATGTCTGTGTGTGTGCGCCTATGTTTGGGTGGGTGTGATGTGTGTGTAGTGGCCTTTAGTCTATCTGTGGCGCAGTCACGCAAAACCACTCTAAGACTGACAACATCTCCAGGAGCGTCGGCTTCTGTCAGAACGCTGCCTGCAGCATGGCTTGGCTGTCGTCACTTTTCTTGTTGTTAACAGTCACAATATCTGACAAATTCTCACATTGTCGCATGTCACCAAAGCATGGGGGCTGTAGACTAATTACTGAGGATATTTTATACCCTGTGGGTGCAGACAATGGCTTCCCAATGTGCACAAAAACTCGATATGTGCCTGCTCTTGCCAAGAAAATAAAAGGTTAAATATAAGGTTGATGTATTGTGATGTTCTGAGCAGAGCAAAAGGTGCAGACACTTTGTCTGTTGTTTTCAGCTTTAAAGGAAAACCAAACTCCCACTTTTGTACCCTTTTCTCTGGCCAAAAATGAGATTACATGAACGACTGAATCTGGCTATGTTCAGGTCTTTGCCTTCGCTCATAATCCCCTGTAATTCTCTTTGTGGTGGACGCTCTCAGATGTCAGTCATTGTTAGCAGGCTGCAGGGAAGCCTTGAGGAAAGAGAGAAAGAGGAACTGATCGCCAAGACAACAGAGGAGAAAAAAACTTTTCTCAGTGAAGAAAGATGTCCAAAAACCCAGGGAAATACGATGTTATATTTGGGTGTTTTTTGTGTTATACTTCAAAACTTCTTTACTTGAGAATATGTTTCATTTATGCCTCAGATTTAGGATGTCTCTTTACATAGTATCTTAACAGTGTCTACGCTGTAAGATTTGAGAAGTTCAGCTAACTTGAAGAAAACTATGGAAACTTGTTGCTGTAAAGATTTAAGAAAACTTGAACTGTTAAAAGTATAATTGTTTGTAGTGAATACTTATTCTGGTACTTATACTAAGTTGATTATTTTTACAGTACTTTAACTTATTGGTTCTGAAAATAAAAGGCCCTCTCTACCCTCTCTAGTGGTGAGGTTGTTGTTATACTTACTCTTTTCCTTTTCCTTTCTCGCCCTTCTCTTTCCTTCCTGCTTCTTCTTTTTCCCTGCCTCAACCTTGCACTTTCTCTACCTCGATCTCTGTACCCACCCCAACCTAGCACTGCCCCTGCACTGGATTTAAACCCACAGCCACCTCACTCAAAGGCAGGTACTCAAGCCAAAACACTGTCCACAACTGCCTTTTTAAGATTTTTCTCCTATTTCATTATGAGAACTTTAAACCTTGGTTCAGTCTACAGTGAGGGCAAAGCATTTTGTTTTTTTCCTTATTGAAAGACCATACCCAGGGCAGATTTGAACCCAGGACCATGAAAGTCTAAGGTAGAAGTTCTACCTAATGCACCACAGGCCTGTCTGCCGGTGACTGCATTTCTTGGTCTTTTCATTTAACCGTTTTATCATGACTATTTTATTAAGTCACATTTTTATTTGTACCCCATTGTAAAGGGGCTCCAACCCTCATCCACAGGCCAGCATGTTTTTTTTTATTATATGTAACCATTTCATTAAAGCTATTTAAAAAAAGGTAAAGAGTACAGATTGGGGAAAGCAAATCAGTGTTTCATTTGAAAGTCCTTGTTGCAGGTGGATTTGCACCCAGGACTATTTCCTTCACAGGCAGTAGCGCTAACCACCAAGCTACTGGCCTACCATGCTTTGATTCACTTTTTAGGGCTTTTCATTAAAACATTTTGGTTGCCATTGTACAAAAGTACTGCTCTGACTACAGTTCTTTTTCTGCATCGCGTCAAAAGCCCCTGTCCTAGGACCAGATTTGAACCCGGAATCTTTTCAGTCAGCAGTAACCACCACACTACACGCCTGCCAGGCAGTGCTTGCTTGTCTTTTTATTTTTACCATGGCAATAGAGCGGGGAAAGCAACGAGTTCATCCCTCAAACTGAAAGTCCTTATCCAGAGTGGACCTCAGACCATACCTGGAAAGCAGAGGATTAACCACTATACTAGTGGCCTGCAAAATGACTGAAGCAGCCTCAAAATAAGCTGTATGTCCTAGTATGTCATGGAAATTTGCATTATGATAAACAATATATGTACATAAAGAAAAAATGAACAAAGTCATGTCTGCAATGCCAGTTTGATCCAAGACAATCTATTGTTCGATTTCTTTAAATCCAAAATTTAAGTCTCAATCTTTGCGAGTTATGCTCACACGTTTTTTTTTAAACAAACAAGAAAAATACCAAAAAAAAAAACCAATTTATTCAGTCTGCTTGCTCTGTTCCTCCTGTCCTTTCCATCCTGCCATGATTTATTCAGACATTTTCTTTACTTTAGAAAGTAACGACGTAAAAAAAAAAAAAAAAAAAAATCCTAGTTTTATTTCAAGCCCATTGAGGACCCCCTTTCTCCATCCCACCACTCTGATTTACATAAGGACGTAGGGATGGGACACTAAAAGTACCGTAAATCAATGCAAACTGTTTCGTTAAACTTTGGAAATGCACGAGCATACAGAGACGCGGTCCTGAACCTGCAGCCTCTGGGTCTGCAGATGCATGCTGCTCGCAGACACCGGCAGCTCGTGCTGTGGGCGGAGCCAAAGTTTACGAGCCTGAAAGCGTCCACCCTCAGTGTGTAGTGGAGGAGGCTCGTCTTCAGACACACGGAGGATGGTCTTCATTTCACTGGCACACTTACGGACTCTATACAAACAGAAGCTGAAGTGCAAAATTCGGATTTAACCGGTTTACGGTCTCTACTTCGACATTTTTTCCAACGCCATTAAAAACCTGAGCGGTGAGGGCGTTTTTTTTTCTTCGCTGCAGCTCGTGGACGGTAAGGTTTTGTGTTAACTCTGTGTCCTCAACGTTTTCAGGTTAAAACACCTTTTACATCGGAGAAAACTCCAGCTTAGTTATATCTAATGCTGTAAAAACAACTTTGGAGTACTTCCTAAAGAGAAACCGCGTTTTTCTGCATGTATGGTAGTCGACATTAAACAGACTTTGAACACAGTCCTGCGTTTAGTCTGTGCTCTCGCGCACCTTGGAGCTCCACATCGCATTAACAGTACATATAGGTGGACTAAATTACTCGCCCTGTTGTCCTTACTCTAACTACATCTCTGTTCTTGTAGAGGAAACAATAAATTAAAGTCATATCCCATGTTTCTGTACACAGACTTTAACTGGTTGCACCAAGAACCCCTTAACATTATTTCTAAATTCGACCAAACACATGAAACTGCAGATTTAACAGCACTTTTGTAAAAGCAGTAGGTGTATAATGTAAGTGAGGAGGCAGACTAATGGTCTGACCACTCTGCTTTCTGTCTCCCGGTGTGGGTAAACAGCTGCTCTTCACATTTAGCTCAAAGAAACAACAAACCAAAGTCACTCCTGAGCTACCGCACCAGCTCTGTGATATTTCTCTCTTTTACTGACAGACACCTCAGATGAATTGCTGCTGCACCATGTGATTGTGTTGATTCCATCCAACTTAACACTTAATCAATGACACCCTGCTTAGCCTATTCTTGTGATACCTTCCCCTTATCTCCTTGTTGTAGAGAGTGTCACCATACCTCCATTGTCAAGCTGCATTTCTGTGGAGTAAATGGTTTCAACACCAGAGAAGCATTTTTTTTTTTTTTCAGCAAGGAGGCCAGAACCAGGAGTGCTTATCAACTTTGTTCCTCAAATCTGGAGGCTGTGATGCGTGTGACTCTAGTGTTGAGATGGTGCTGATAGGCTTGGTTGGAATCTGACTGTAAATGACCGGTGGAGCGGTCTTTTCCCCTCTGGGCCTCAGCTCCTCCTCTGCAGTGTGATACTGTATCAGTACCTCTAATAACACTGATAGTCACTCACTGTAAACAAAGCTGCAGAAACTTCGTCTTTTGAAGCACTCGTAAAGTGTTTTGGCTCACTCTTTCTCTCTTTCTCTAAAACACACACACACACATGCAGACCCCCACCCACACAATCAAACACTCAAAACAAACACAGAGACTCCACCCAGCCCTCCACCCACTGTAACAACTTCAGAGGAATGGTCAGCATGTGGAGAGCTTGTGGTGAAGAGTTAGAAGTGAAGTGAAAAGCGGGAGGAGGGACAGTCGGTTTTCTTTAAACCCCCAAAGGTTACAGCGATGTCCCCGTAGCAGAGCCGAGAGAGACGGGAAGCACACAGATCAAGCTGATGGGAACTTGCATGTCAGGGTTCCCAGCGCAGCAGCCTCTCATACTGGGCTGAGATGTGGGAAAACAGTCATTTCATTGGGCTGCAGCCAGAATGCAGCCAGAATGCACCCAGGATGACGGGGCAGGCATAAAGCCAGCCACGCCGCCTTTTCATCAGCTGAGTTGAGTTAGTGCAGATCAGTTCAGAAAGGTCTTGTTGTTGCAATGTGTAAAAATCCCAAGCACGTTTTGTTTTTCTCCGACGTATTCCTGCAGGGAGAACATTTGGCACAGGAGGCAAGACGGTTTCAGAACTCTCGTAGCATTATTGCAGCCGAAAACTGTGAAAAGTCACACCTCGCTTTTTACACGTGGGCTATAAGGTTTAATGGTTTGCATTCGCATTCACTAAAACTGGCTGTAGCCACGTTTGCTGTCTCTGCTGTGTCTACACAGAGCTCGGTTTTCCAGTTGCAGCTCCATTCGTATTCATGTGTGTGACCTGCAGGTCCTGTATAAGGGCCTGTGAATCCTGCAGAGGTTAAGATACAGGGCCAAAGGAGGGCTCTAAATGCAGGCGATGTCCCTCCAGGGGCCTTGCAGGTGGACCTGTCTTCTCTAGCTTCTCCTGTTGCTGGATCTTTATCCACTCTGGCAATACCTCCACTCAGAAATCTGCTTTTGATAGCAAAAACATGTGTTCCACTTGTGTCTGACCCATTTATATCAGAGTGATCCTGACTGTGCACAAGGTACAGGAGCTGAGTTTATAGCTGCATGTTTATCCACATCTTTGATGAAGTACAGATTTACATCAGTGCTGGGAGAGAAACGGTGTGTACGTTGAATAACTTCATTTCATAGCGTGTAGAACAAACTTGAGCTCTTCAGATTTAGTTTCTTACTTAAAAGATTCAACATGTCATTTGTCATCTAGTTTTATACTGTCACCTTATTCAAATTAACGAGCTTAACTTTTCCACAGTCTCAAAATTGATAAAGTACTAAACCTTAGATATAGTTGGACAGGAGCAGGGTTTTTCCTTCAACGTTGATGTTTTTGTTTTGCTTTTTCTACACTATAAAACACTGTAGAAATCTGACAGTTGTTTTGGAAAATGGGCGTTCCCACTCCCATAAATCAAAGACGCAGCAGACCCTTGTTTAACCTGCAAATCCAGGTTAGTTAGCACGTTAAATGACTCATTAAGGTTTATCGTAAAGGCAGGATTATGCTGCACCGCTGAGTCCCATCCATGTGTCGGATTTGGTGAGAAATAAGTCTCAATATCCACTTGGGTGAGGTCCTTTCTAAGGAGGCTGTCTTTGGATGGAAAACATATTATATAACATGTCCCTCTCCAGAGAGAAATCAATGTCCTCCCCATTCTTCTTCTCCTGTTTAGAAATAATGTAGTGAAAAAGATCCACTGTGACTGCAGAGATCTTTCTTTTCCCCTGTGAACTGCTGATAACTGTAGCTTATATTTCAGGGGCAGTATGGATACTATAACTTTGTTTTTAATTTTGTCCCGAGACGCTCTTTTGATTCGGTACTTACTTGGGAAATTATAACAGAGAAACACATTATTTCAGTACAATAATATAACCTAAATCCCAGAGTAGGTTCAAGGAGGGAAAGTTATCAGGCAAGGAAAAGATTAGGGTCCTGTGTTGTTCAGAGACATTGTATAAGAAACTCACTGAGTACATGACTTAATAATGCTGTATTGATATATGTGACGGCGATTTTCAACTTTTTAAGTATTGCCTGCATGAAAATCACTCATCTTTCATCACAATTGGCCATTTTTAATCTAAGATAGGTGCATTATTTTTGGTCACCCTGCATATTTATTTGAATTAAAAGGTGTGCTTTTAAAAAATATACAGATAACAAGTGAGGTGTGTTTAAATTGTGTTGCATTGACATTTCGATTGGGGTCGTGGTTTGATTAGTGATGCACGATATGAAAAATTTCAACCGATACCGATAACCGATAATTTTCTTCTTCTCATGGCCGATACCGATAACCGATAAATTCATATTTTTACATTTATTATAATCTTCATATAATCTGCAGTTTGTGCAGGATGCAGCGATTGAAAACTGATGTTTTTGTTGCTCTGGCCTATCTAGAACAACAAACAAAAGTTTTTGGCTCTTCAAATGTGGTCATTTGCTTTAAATAACAATAACAGAGCAAAAAGCAGAGCTTCATTTGATCCCCTGAACTGTTCAACAGAACTGTAAACTGTAAAGGAGCCATTATGAGCCGTTAGGCTTAGCATGCTGACCGGACTAACATCTGACGTCCATATGTCTGTGGTAAAACTCACGTGTAGTCCGTTCTTGTCGATCAGGTTGTGAATGTATGTGGCGACAATATCATAGAGTGCAGGAAGGGACACATCCGAGAAGAAGCGGCGGCTTGGGAGAGTGTAACGTGGCTCCAAGTGTGCTATTAACTTGCGAAAACCCGGGTTCTCAACGACGGAAAAAGGCTGGTCGTCGACCGCTATGAACTCCATCACTTTGTCGTTAATGGCTGTAGCCTTTTCGCTGTCTCTTGAGAAGCTTTTGCAGTTTTCAAACGCCCGCTGAATGGGGACATCGATCCTCCGTAGTGTTGTTGTCTTAGCTTTAGTACCGCTAGCAGCTTCGGCGGCTGTCTCATATTCTTTTACTACCGCTTCGCCGGGATGGCGACTTTTCAGATGAGCTATCAGATTCGCTGTGTTAATACTTGACGTCTTCTTTCCTCCTCTTGGAATCCTCGCTGAACAGGTTTTGCATATAGCAGCTGTTGTCATCTTCTGCCACTGAGAGAAACGACCATGCTGGTGAAGACATTTTATTATCTGTCAGGTAGTGACGGGGTCAGGCTTGGGACCTGCGAGTAAGGTGCGATAGATGACGTAACCAGCGCGTCTCGGACGGGCGGCTACTCCGCCTGCAAACGTTACTCGTAATTTCATTAATATATCGGATCTTTCTATCGGAAAAATGCACCTATCGGACCGATAAAAAATGACGTAATTTCCCCCCAAATCGGCCGATATTTTATTGGTCCGATAAATATCGTGCATCCCTAGGTTTGATATATTTCAGTCCTGAGATGGTTGCCAGCTGTGATGTTACAGAGGACCAAACTTTGGTTATTATTTGCTCCTCAGAAAAATGCAATATGTAGCCAATCAAGACATTAATATTTACTTCTGAAAATAAAGTTTTGAGTATGTACATAATTGGCAACAGCAGCAGAGTGTCTTTTTTTCACTTCACAGTCTGAATGTTGGCTGGTGACAACAACTCACTTTGGCGATGGGACAGAATTTTCAAACTTTGTTTTATCTCCTCATCAAACTGCAGCGTGTATGATTAATCAAATGATGCAGAAAAGCCCTGACAGTGCACATAAATTCACCAAAATGAAAAGTATGTAAAGTTTTTAGGCTCAAAATTTTGGGGCGACCCCAAACCCACCTGTTATCTGTTCCCTGTTAGGGGGGCTGTAGTTCATCTAACTTGATGAAACTGGTGTTTTGGAGTTTAGGATGCAGATGTTGTTCACTTGTGAGTCATGTATTTGTGCAGTTTAAATTTGTAAAACTGAGAAATGCCATCCCAGACTCTATCGGTCTGATGCACTGTCTATTATCATCAGGTGTGTGCCAGGGGTGATCTTACTGTTGACCCAAGACTTACTTTCCTGGTGTCAACTGCTCTCAGAGACAAAGACGGATCACCTGATGATAAACAAAGGGGAGAAGTTGACATGTTTGCCGAGAGTAAACAACCGACAGAGAGGAGGCGGTAAACCAGACAAACGACTCCTGCAGACTGTGTCATGTTTCCACTTGTGATGAGTAATCTGAACAGTTTTGTGGTCAAGGCTTGTCATTACCTGCATTGACTTTGATACCTGAACACTCTGCAGTGATTGTAGTGTGATTCTGACAAGGTGAAGCAAGGGCCAGAGGCAGAATATCGTCATCTGATACGCTCTTAAATCCTATTGCCTTGCCTGTCAAATCGAGTAAAGAAATGAGTCCTCATGTCGGTTTAACCACAGGGATTAATGGTGCCCCCTCTGCTCCATGTTTAAGTCATGAGATGAATGGTCCACTATGGAAAGCCAAGTCTGAAAGTTTGATGGTGTAATTAGCAGATGAACTGTGATGCTAACACAGCGTGCTCCAGACCTCACAAAGACCTCTATTGTGTGATTACATGACTGTAAATCTTTGACTTTCTTTTGTCACGCCAGAGTTTGTTCACAGACTGGATTGACATCATCATCATCAGCCCTGTGAAGGCGTGAGATGTTGTCCTGTGTCGTGGGTATTTGCAGCTTTGATAGCAACAGTGTTCCCCATACATCCTAGACCAGACCACTCTTGACAGGAAAATAAATCCTCCTCATCACTGTGAGACAACCATTAAATTGCCACGTGTCGAGCTGTGGCGCCCTAAGAAAGTGGAAATCTAAATTTGTCTGTCTCTCTTTTTTTCTAATGTTTCCTCAAGAAGCAAAATGTTTGGCTCTAATGATGAGAATTCCTGATTGTTCAGCGCTCCTTATAATTTTAAATGGGTCATCAGTTTGAAAGTATTGAGAGCTTTCCAACCTAGAAGCACCTAATAAGCAAAAGAAACTTAAGTGTTTTTCCTCTGAGTTCGCATCAATCAGGTTTCCAGCGAAGGAAAATAATGTCCTCATAAGTTGTCATGGTTTTGGTAACAGAGCTGTGTGAACAAGTGGGAAATTAGGCCTCCTGTCACACTGTGTTCTGACTGACACTCACAGCTCATTATTGACGCCTTGCAAGTTTTTATAAGGAGCAATCTCCCACTGTTCCCGGCAGGCTCGAATAATTTGAGGCAAGGGCAGCTCTGTATCAGAGGGAATAAGGTGACCCCAACTCTCCTCTGAGCACTTATCTCCTCTGCCAGTTCTGCTTTACTCATTCGTTTGAAATGATAATTGCTCCTTCCTGCGTGGCAAAGCTGAGCAGTGTGTGCAATAGAGATGTAAAAGAGAGTTTGAATATTCCTCAGAGTCAATTCAAGAAAAGAATCACACTTCGGGGGATGTTGCATCGTGTGGCCTGGTGCAGAGCAATGTGTATAGCATGGTTGGATGAATATTGTTTAAAATTGAAGATATTACAGATCTTGAATTCAATGTTAATTGATAGAGTCCAGTTAAGTAGGAGATATTGGCAAATCGTGCATGGACACAGTGCACAAACTAGTGAAGTAGTCAACACAGATCTATTCAGTGGGTCTATCAGAGGGGGAATGTACAGGGAGTGGGTTGGAATGGCTTGGTACCTGAGGGGTCTTGTTTTGAAAAGAATTGACAGATTGATCTTTCTGCTGACTGATAAGAGTCTAGTTTGCTCTCTAGATTTGAGCCACAACCCACAGCAACAGTCTGTTCTTCATATTAGTCACTCAGCCATGGAGAAATAGCACACCTTCGCCTGTTGCTACCGACCAATCAGAATCAAGCATTTTACACAGCTGTGCAATAATAAATGATAGATGCACATCCTTGACGTTGATAATGATTATGTAAAAGCAACCAACTAGTTGTCATGTTAATTAACCATCTTCATACATAGACTTAAGTGATGGCTAATTCAATATTATTTATTAGCCATATCACAATATTATTTCGTATTTGTTATATTGACAGGATGTAACCCTAGCTGACATTTGTTATTAAAAATATGAATAAACTGTTTTCAGGGTTCCTACGCAAGTACATGAAAGTAATTAAATCAATTTCCAGGTTTTTAAAAGTATGTTATATGAAAAATAAAGTATGGAAAAATATTTAGGTTTCCAGACTATTACCACAGTAACAAAATACTGTTTTCTAAAATAGAAAAGTAGGTTTTTTACAAAAATAATTCTAAAAAGTATGGAATGGAAAAGTGTGGAAATTCCAACTGAGTAGGAACCTGTGTTTTTATTTTCACTGCAAGAAACAGTGCTTTAGGAAGCTGGAGATTCATGCGTTACATCTGAGAATAGTGCAATAAATGGACTTTATGTCAGAAAAAAAAAGCACTGAAAATTTTCCAAATGCAGCATTCGCTTACTCTGAGAAATAATGCTTTGAATGGAGTCTGTTAAAATTAGACAAATAGATGTGGTCGAGCATGTCCCTGTCTGTTGTGGTTGTTAGCCCTCTGTCTTAAAAAAAGGGTTGAGCTGACCCTCTTTGATCCCCTGTGGCTCATAACCTTACTATTGACATGTACCTGATACAATCCCACAACATAAAAACAGGAATATCCCTTTAATCCATGGGTCGGGGGTTTGCTGAGTACTGTGCAACAGTTTTATATGTGATTAATTTGGATCAAGATGCAAACAAACAGATCCTATTTGTAGCTTTAAAAGCACATTTTAAGTATCGTGCACAGCATGTCACAGCTGAGTGCTTTCTAGTTTTATAAGTACATTGAGTCATTTGGGGGTTATGGGAAGAGCCTGTTTTATGATCTAAAATTGCCTTTTAGTTTCCTGCTAAGTTTGATGTCTCTTGAGTGAAATACCAATTTGTAATACACAATTTTCCTGTTATTTTTCTGTTTGAAAGTCATCATCTTTGTGTATTTGAATGCATCAGGGACGTACCACTGCAGGATGTATTACAGTCTGTCATCAATACAAAGAGGATTCAGTGAATTATTAATAATACATGCAGGAGATGTCAGTATCCTACTATTATCACTCTGGGATCACACATGTGAATCAATAATTCAGGGAAAGCTGTTGGTATCAATTTTCAGGGACTTTCATGTTCCCGTAAAATGAACTCAGGATGGCAGATAATGTTGTGTCCAGGAAATAACACCGGCTGTTGTGAGGCGGGGACATATTTTCAGCTTTTGTACTCTACTTTAGTAAAACAAAAAAACATTCACAGCTGCATTCAGGGGATATTTAGAAAAATAACAAAAAACAAATTTGCTGTATTTATTTACATAGAAATACTCATTTATCGTGGTTCTGGATCAGTGGTTTTAACCCACCCCATACAGAGAGGCTGTTGTGATCATGCAGCGGTCTCTGCTGAGACTCCCAGCTCTTTGGTTCATTTTATCCCTCTTGCTTTACTCCCCACCTTTCATGTCTCTCTACATATAAATCTTCAGTAAAGTAGTTTTTGGGATGTCTGGCTAACATTTAACATCTACAAGATTTAATCCTAGCTGACGCATTTGCCTATAGGGAATAGATATAGATTTATGAACTCAGCAGATCTTGATTGGCTCTTAGATCTGGGTTTTTTGTGATATTGGTACAGATTTGTCTTTTTATATATCTTTTTCTGCCTCTGGGCCCCATCCTGAACCTTCAGTGTCTGACAGTCTGATATTGTAAGTGAAGCATGCAAAGAGATTTACATGTTTTTTTACATGGGTTAAAGTCTTCTCTGTTATATTCCAACACAGAGGCCTCTTTGTATTCGAGCCAAGTGAAAATCATGTTACCTGCTAGGGTGGATATGATATTGGAGAGATGACATCAGGAAATTCTCTCTTTTTGGAGGTGTTTTTTTTTTTCTCAAAGTGGAGCTTAGTGCTGAAAAAGCATGTCCTATTGAGTCTTTAAGTGTCGAGTTTAAAATAGGCTTTCTTTAAAATATATACATTTAATCAGCATTTAATTTCCTGCTCGATAGGAATTTCCTCTAAGACTTCCAAACAAACGTTATCTGGTTAGAAAGATGTTTGTCTAAGCTTGTTGTGAGTTCTGACGAGGTTGCCCATATTAAAATCGACTTAAAAGCCTGTGTGAGAGGATATCCTGGAGATTTGTCTCTGATAGACGTATTATCCATAATCTGCAGTGTATCCCTAAGAAAGCAATGACCAGTGTGTGCACCCAAGATTTAACAGTTTGAGTTTATTTTTAACCCAGTTTTGATTTATTTAGGAGTCTGCTTTCTTGGTCTGCTTGAAGGAGAGGAAATATGGTACCTCAGGTTCACACAAAGTACAGTGCACTGCACCTCCACAGAAGTTTTCCCCTGACTGAGGCATCCTGCAGTTCAAATTTAAAAAAAAGTGATCTTGTCTTTGTCAGATAAGTCATTAGTTATTAATCAGACTTGTTCCGATAGATAGATCCCATCTTCATCTGTAAACTTTTGATCTAGATGTGGAAATGATGTTGATTTTAACAATCTACTGACAAATCTGGATCATGGTTTATGTGTGGTCCTCTTTATGCAGCGTGGCACAGGCGCCAGTATTGCTCTGACACAATCCATCCATGGCAATGAAAGCAACCATGTTTGGGTAAAGCGCTGAGTATAGTCTGTGTGAAATTCAGAGTTATTTGTTCTCAGAGCACATGCCTAAATCTGCTTACAGCATAGATACAAAAGACAAATATACATAATTTCACTGTCTGACCCACACAGTTTAGATGTGAACAGTCCTTCTGGAGGAGCCAGTTAAGCTGAGTAATTTGACTGTTAAGGATTATTTGATCAGTTTTTCAGTGATTTCTAACTTTGTAATACAAAAAAAAATGAATGTGTGATGTTTTAAGTGTAAAATTAAGCCTGAGAAATAAGCAAAAAAATCAGAGTTTTAGCTGACTAAATGAGCAATCCTTTGAGCCCCTGAATGAATATCCGCACAGACATAACAATGAACTTTAGGTAGATCTTTAAAAGAAACATTTGGGAATCAAAATTTAGTGTAAATTTTTGTGGGTTTTTTTTATATTTAAGTTGAAGCCTGTTCTCTACAGTTGTTGTTGGAGAGACTCTCAGTGAAAGGGAAGCTGTTTGCATGTAGAAGAGGAGGAACGTGACTAATGTGAGCCCCATACTTGTTGTGTTAACATGTCGTAGCTTGTTAAGGCCATTCTCTGGTAAACCTACATATAAAGAAAACATTTGTGTAGAGTTGGAATGTAACTTATGAAGTGCTGCTGTATAAGACTACAAATGGGTTTGAGGCGTGAGCGTATTTATAAGGTCAAATGGAGACGAGCTGAGTAAAGGAAGTGACATATAGCAAGTACTTTACTACTAATTACTTTTAATGACATTTTAAGGGAAACGGCCATGGCTGCTGTAGATATGTCATACACCATTACAGTTATAAAGCGAGTGCATTAGAGGAAGAAAGAGGACAGAGGGATGTGTGAGCTTTACTTTCAAAATCATATTCCGCAATAGTTTAACAAATATTTCACACACACTTAATCTTCCTAATGAAGTGAACAGACAACTTTTGCTATGTGAGGGTAAAAGGTTTGCCTTCCTTCTCCTCTTGTCTCTTTAGTTGGCTTTAAAGTGAACATGCACCGCCCGCTCAGCTGGGCAGACTGCTATATGTGAGATTTATAATGACAGACACAGCAAGAGGTCTCTGCCTTGTCAGTCACCTACTGGGACCTTTTCTGCCCGGCACAAAGGCTCCATAAATCTCCCTGAATAGTAATCTGCACCAGAGAGGTCATGTTGTTTTTAGGGTGCACACTGAAAGAAAAATCTCAGACATTATTGAAAAACAAAGAGACGTTTAACTTTATGAAATGTAAAACTTCTGATTTGTCATTTGTCGGAAACAGTTTGTGGTCTGTCAAAGTCACCCTTAAACCTGGCAAAGATCTGAAACCACTGAAGTTTCAAATTTGATTGCCGCAGCCCAATTAAACGCAAATGCTCTTATAGCTCTCTTTCGCTTTGGACTTAGATATACTCATGATACTGTTAATGGATTGGACGTCAGCCCAATCAAGCCTCATGTCGAGCTCTGTGATAGAGCTTTCATCACAGGGTCCTGCCCGGCAGCTGATTATCTCCATAAGTGCCTCAGCCTGTGCCAGAGAGTAAATGAGAGACAAGTGACTTTGCAGGGATGAAATATTGGGATCTGGTTGCCGAGCACAAAGCCTGGTCCTTTTATACCAAGCTAGCCAACCCGTTAGCCTTTATGCTTCTCTCTATCCAGCGAACTTGCCGTGACCTTTATGAATGTATCGCCCAATAAGTCTGTCACATCCTTTCTCTCTTTTTAACAGATGCAGGTATTAATAGGGAGCCTCTTGGAGAGTTCAAAAGGTTAATGAATCTGTAGCCTTAAGCAATATGGCACCAGATTCACCCTTCAGACATACAGGGAGCAGCAGACCTTCTCCTAGATGAGCAGATGGGTCCTTTAGCACGGAGCGTAGCGGGTTGCCTGTACTGTTGTAGCCACAGCTGAATAGAGCTCTAATCCTATAAGTCCAATATTCATTGCTTCTAATAAGATAACTTTCTTTGCTTGAGTACTTGCTGTCAAATGTGATTAAATGCTTATTAATTTTTAATACTTCTCCTTCAGATCCATGCTCTGTTGTTCTCCAGAATGGATTAGGACGCTACACGATTAATGCCGAAATACACGATGTACTTGGTTTTGAAGCGTAAGAAAGTATGTAAAGAAAACAAAACAAGAAAAAACTGCAGTGTACTTGCCCTTTTTTCACCTGTTAAGCCTCAACTAATCTGCCTTCAGAGTGTTGATCATCTGTCTTGTTTTCCTCAGGTTGCTGGGCACAGTTTATTTACAGTTAAGATAAGTCAGCCTGTATTTTGGACTTCCAAGACACCTCAAGTGTCCCTGCTGCAAGACCTCATCTTTTGACATAACTGATTTCATGGGTACTTCCTTTTTTTTGCCTTACAGTGCAATGTCTCGATGGGCAAACACCTGAGAGAAGTGTTCAAATAAAACAGTCACCGTAAAAGAAATGTAGGTCATGACTGAAACTAAAATGAAGCATTGTGAAAAGGAAAATAAGTGTCAGATATAATAGTTGTGGTAATTTGGACCAGATCAATGAGCTCTGAATGTGCCTCAAACAGTAATTATCACCTTTTATCTGGTGACCATTTATAACTTACTTTGCACACCCCATGGCTGCTCTGGGACCTCCAAAGTGATTTTCTAATTAACAACATTTCCTGGCACTGAAAGGTCAACGCGAGAGTTTATTTCTGCTCTGATCGCCTGCACAATTAGCCAAAATGATTCCTAATTTATCAGAGTGCTAGGAAGCCATCCCTCTCTTTCTTTTCATTAAAGTTTAAAGAGCTGCAGTTGCATAAGGATTTGCCCTGGGAACACGAAGACCTGGGGTGTGCGAGTCACGCTGGGCTGCCATGCCTGTTGTTGATGCAGTCGCAGCAGGCATGAGAGGGACCAGCCGGAGAGGAGGGAGATGTTACGGTATCATCGACGGATGTTTCAGTTTCTTGTGATCCAGCTGGCTTTAGTGGAGCAGCAGGCAACCAAAGAAGGCTGGTAGTGAAGTGATGAGTGACATGGACTTATTGGTCCACTGGTTGAGACCTAGGAGGCAGAGAGCCTGTGTTCAGTCTTGGTAGGAAGCATGAAGACTGGGTTATAAAAGCTGTTTATCTTGACTCTGTTGTAGTTTGTCTTTGTTGATCAGGACTTTGAAATGGTATCACTCAGCAGGAAACTGTCTCTAAAGAGGACCAAAGGGCCAGTAACTGACCCCCTGCCTGTCCTGTACTGGTGTTGGATTTATTAGTGACCATAAATATTTATTTAAAGAGGTCTCCAAGGAGTTGTTGCAGTGACGCCAGCTCTCAGCCTGAGACGCCTTGTGCTCTCCAGTGTTTACTTTCTAAACGTCATCACCTATGTGGGAGCCAAGCTTAAGGGGAGAGGCGGAGCTGTCAGAGAACAAGGAGTCAGGAGTCGAGTTCAACCACAAGAAGACACTTTGTTTCTGCTCTTCTCAGGATAGTTGGGAAATCCGAAGAATCAAGAAATTTGCTTGAATTCATGTTTAAGTAGGGCTGGGCGATATGGCCTCAAATCAATGTCACAATATATTGAGCAGTTCACCTAGATAATGATAAATAGATGATAACTACTCCACAAGCTGCTAACCCCCTCCCACATTAACTTCATCTACTTTAGCCACTACAACTTTTGAACCATCCTCCATCTCCTCATCTGTCTTTCCCTCTTTATTATGGAGTGGGGTCACGTGTCTGATGTAGGACAGCGTCTTAAAGGGACATGAGACCATAGCCGACCTACACACATCCTAAACCAACTTTTATTTATTTATTTATGTCGTAAATTTCGGTATCGGTAAATGTTCGGTTTATCGCCCAGCCCTATGTTTAAGTTTTTCGAGACTTTGACAGGTGTTCTCCTTGCAGCTGTTTTATGTGTATATTGTGCTTTCAGTCACACTGACATCTCTGAGAAATATTCGGTGGGTCAGCAGCTTTTCTAAACCCAGATACATGCAACCATGAACTTTTTGTCCATGTGCTGTACTGCTGAGTTAGTTTTGAAGAATGTTGGTGAGGCCTGAGCTCTTATTCATCACTTACCTCAAGCTCCTGTGAAGATTTTTCAGTTTGAGTACAACAGGCTGAAACAAATACTAAAGCTTTTTTGGACCTTTAAAAGAAAACAAAGCCATCAGCAAAAAAGACTGATTTTTTTCTTGATTTAGTTCTGTTCAGTGCATGAATCAGTTGTGTCGGTGTCAGAAAAAATGCTAGTTTCTAGTTAGAACAGTTTCTACATGGGTTATATTTGTCTGACAGTAATACACGGCAGAATGAGATGTCTTGTTCAAAAATACTCATTTCATATTGCCAACAACAGTTTTCTTCCTGTAGGATGACTAAATTGCTAAAACTGAAGTTATTTTTACAGGATATTCAAAGCAAATATGATCTATATTTTTATTATTAATGTTTGATCATATGACTGTTTGTTCACATCTGTAGGAAAAGCAGTTCATTTATTGAAACCACAGATAGTTTGATTAGTTCTTTTGTTTTCTCTTTGAGCTCTTTTACTGGCTGTAATTAAACTGGTTCAGCCAAACCATCTCTTAAATCTCAATTGTTGCTACAAATAGCAGCTGTATTTTTAGGAGCAAAAACAACAGCAAAGTAAGCCACTGCCTTTCTCATTTTTAATACAGAATACTTAGTCTTTCAGGAGGTGTTGTCACAGCAGTGGAGACCAAAAACAGAGCTGCCACTAGGGCATATACATCACTCCAATGTTAAGTATGTACCAAGGTATCTTTGCTAACAAGTCCACTGTCTAATCTCAGGAAAAGGTCAGTGTCACACTTGTGTGGTTACAGCTTCTTTCTGCAGCCTGAGATTGACCCAAAATTATGTCATTACATTTTCAAGAACTACAAAGACACAGAGTGATCCATTTTAACCACTGAGCTATAAAACTTCTGATGAAGCAGATGGGAGATGCACTTATTTTAAGTGATTTCCAGGAAAGCCTGACCCCCCTACTAAATCTCAGCGTACGTGCATCCACATAACAAGCACCTTTTCTGCACAGTCACATCTAAACCAATAAAAGTCAGAGAGCAGATGTGTTCATTTCGCCTCTTTGAGACAAATTACAGAGCTGTCTTTGGAGTCAAAGTTCTTTTATGTGTTTCCCCACACAGCCTCCAAATTAGAGCCTAGCTGTCATGTTATCTTCTTTGAGATCTCTCTCTGATTTTTGATGACAGCATAATTAAATACTGGGATTGAAAACAAAATTTCTTCATGTGTTTCTCTCAATGTCAAACTTTGCTGGCTATGGTACAAATTGGACATTGACTGAGACTTAAAAGTTTGTAAAACCCTGTAAGCTGACACACAATCTGTGTGTTGGTGTTAGCTGGTTGGTGGTTTGAATGATCTGTTGGTGGAGTTTTTTCTTTGGCAGTGTGCGCACACAGTAGAAGAAAAATATTTGTTTTTGTCATGAAGGCTTGAGCTGAAGCCATGTGTGAGCTAAGTTACAGTTTCAGGACAGAGGGATGAGGCCAGTGGGGTTTCTTTTGAGAGCTGTCAGAGCTGATTCACACGTCAGCGTTTAAATTCTTGATTTGGTTTGCTGTAAAATCTACGCCACCTCTCAAAAAGAACCTCAGCCAAGACTATCAGCTCATATGCTTTTGTGGTAGTCATATAAAATGTCAGAAGTTGGATGTGGATCTAATATTTCAGTATGTGTTTCATCTTTCTTTCAACATGTTCTTGGATCAAACATTAAGAAACATTTTCTCTGTCTTTTTGTTCCACAGATCCAGAAGGACTTTCACTAAATGGCTATTGGTCAGAGCTTAGTGCTGAGCCTTGGAAGAGCACTATGAGGAGATGACAACAAGCAGCCTTTAATCTAGAAAGGATTCCTCTTCTCTTAACTAAGAGTCTGCTAACTGCGTGTAAGGACCTCTGGGAGTACAAGAATCAAGCCAAGGACATGTTCACTCCCCCTCAGCCTGCAGGAAGATGGGAGTGAGAAAATAAAAGCTCTGCAGAGTCGAGAGGAGCTTAATGAAGTCCAAGGAATCTTAAAACAAACATTGTACATTGGTGTATGTCTAAGATCAACCATGTGGACACTAGCTGCGACTGTCCACTGTCTTCTAGCTACTGCGCTGCTATTGGCCTGCTGCCTGCAGTCATTGACCGCCAGTGAGGATGACGTCACCCCGCGCATCAGCTTCCCTTACAGTAAGTCATCGCAGTTAACCAACACACTTTTGTCCAGTCATGAGTCATGTAAGCCAGTCACATGCTGATGCTGTGAGCAGGTGGTGGTAGTAAAAAAGGATAAGCTTACAACCCACAATAGTAAGATAAACCGCCAGTTCTTTCAAAGCCAGCAGCAGCTTGTGTTGGGTCTACTTTGGGTTACAGTAAGTATTAAAAACAGTTCATCTAGTACTCTGTGATATTGGTCTGTGTAGAGGCAGGTCCCTGATGCTACTATAAGTGCTTTTTGACCACAGGAACTTTCATCAATAACAAGGGACTCTTTGAGGAACCCTGTACATTTTTTGATTGCAGGAACCAGTAACCTCTAAATTGAGTTCCTGAGTAACTGCTCTACCCTTTAAGAAAGTCCCTGGTTTAGTGGGCAAGGTCCAAAGATCCAAGGACTTTGTCAGGCAATACTGAAGACAATCTAACTTTAAAACTATTAAAATTGAACGATCTCATTAAATTACAGACACCCTCAATAATATTCAGGGCAAGACACAGATTGTTACCAGAAAACCTGCAAAAGATGTTAATTTTCAGTTCAGAGGATGAAGAACACAGACGCGATTTACGAGTTATAGGAAAATAACCTGAAGTGGAAAGATCATCTTGCATTATTGTTTATTTCTGTTTTGAGTGAGGGGAAGGTAAAATAAGCTTTGTCTTCCACCTGCTCCCTTCTGGTCATGTGCTGTACTACATTTGTTAAATGTCTTTGTATTTATAGAAATACTTAAAAATGGCCATTAGCAGGAAAAATGAAAACAAAACATAACCAGTCCTTAGTTTACATATAGAATATAGATGTTAGCACAGGTACTAGTATCTGAGATAATACAGCTTACCTGTTATCAACATCATTTGTCAAAACTATTGTTGTACTATACGTTGTAAGTTCAGCAGAGACTCACATAGAGCGCAAGTTACTTAGTCTACCAAATAACTGTTATTGAAGTCATTGTAAAAATGCTGACAACAATGGGCCACACTTTGTAGTTCCTTGAAGAGAAGTTCTGTGTTTTTCTGGTCAAAAGGACCTTATGTGAAAGTGTGGGCTTATGCTAACCGCTCTGTCCTGCTCTGTATTGTCACATTGATAACCCCAGCCAGACGTGTTGCCTTTGATAGTGTTACATTTGTCTAACACTTTTACTTGTGTTTCTGTAAAATCTTTTCTCTTTCAAAGTAAAACATAATTCCTGCAAACCAGAGCAGTGAGCCTTGGCCTCAGACTGTTGTTGTGACATTGTGAGTGCCTGACGAGTTAAAATATATGACCCCTTTTTTTTAAGCTCTTGGTGTTGAACAAGCCACCTTTTAAGTAGGAGTAGTTTTAACCAATAATTCAGGCTAACATTTGCTCAAACTGTCTGGTTGCTGAGAAACCAGAAACAACAGTTACATTTTTGGGCCAACAAACTCATCTTGTTATTTAGAAATGAGACATCAGCCTTTGGTGACCTTTGTGCGCAGTCTTGTACCTACCATGTGGAGACTTACAGAGATTTTCAGAATGTGAAATCTTCCTCTCTCATCACTGTAAATTGCATGTTTGATTTGTTGGAGCGGACAGTTTAATTAGCAATACAGTAACCGGGGGGGTAGAGTTCAATTTTCCATCAATTGTACACAACACATCATCCTTTCTTGTCTATAGTGAGCAAAAACAACAAACCCTGCAGCAACAGGCGTGCATTAAAGCAGAGGGCCTGCAGGCCTCGATGCCTGAACTACAAACATTGCTCGTCAAAATGCAATTATTTAAAGGTCTGTTCGTTGTTTGTTTCCTTATCAAACCTCACTTTGTTCCAGTTTCACTGTTGATGTTGTTTTTCTCCTCAAGCCCTGAGAAGTCAATGTTGTGATGCATGTTTGCACGTGACCTCTCAGCTAGTTTCTCATGTTAAAAAACAAACACAAAGCTGTAACACAGAGGGCTTTTAAGTACTCTGGATCATATTGGGGCACAATGGGTTTTCATCTTCAAGACAATTTGCCATTTCTCCCTTTTCCCCTTTTGTTCGACGCGTAAGAGGGGTTCAGCTGAATGCAACAAGTCACCTCGCAAATATGAACAAAAAATCTCATGTGGTGGATTAAATGACCGATGAGGAAAAGGAAGAGGACAGGTCAACATACGTAGATAACAAGTTAATTCCCAAATTGAGCTCTCTGTGTTCTGAATTTTCGTACGCCTGGTCTCTGTTTTGCAGCACTGCCTGCAAAGACAAATATGCTGATTAAGCAGCGACCAAAGTATAGGCTTAAAAGGACGGAGGGAGCTCTGCCTCCTGTAAACACCACCTGTCTGACAGCGAAGCACCTAAAAACAACAATCTAATGCTTGTTTTCCTTACTCTTCAGCCCACTCAGAGAGGTATATCAGCAAAATTCACATCTCAAAGTGGCATCACTCAAACTGAATAACCACCTTCCCCAAACTGGAGCCATTTAGCTGGTTTCTCAAAGAACTAAATGGATTAAAATGGGCCCAGTCTGGTTCCCTTGAACAGAGTTTTTCCAGAAGCACGGATGTGTCGTCTTTCAGCTACTCTGCTCAGCTCCACTCAGGATTCAAAATCTTAATTTTGTGTCTTTTTCAAACAAGCAGTCAGCCATTTAGATTCTTTTAACCAGACAGTATAAGTACCTCTACAAGATAATGCACCTTTTTTAGCTGATGACAGACAACAGTGTAGAAAATAATCAGATTTAGACGTCACTGACATTGATTGTTACCTATTCACAAAAAGAGCTGCTTTGCATAAGCTGGGTCTGTCGCATCAATGACAAGCTAAACATTTTGTTTATAAAGTAGCCTGAATTCAACCAGCCCCATTGATGGGAAAGACGTAAAGCAGGTCCCCAATCACTCTGGTTTTAAAGTCTGTAAGAAAAGGGGGGACCTGGGCTGTTTTCTCAGGCGAGGACCCTTGCCTCAACATGGCCTTTTTCCTGGAAAGCTGTCCCCCTCCTTTCTAGCTCCTTCCTCCTCTCCTAATGAGCAGGCCAATCATGTGTAGTGAGTGGTCCCTGCAGTGAAGGGGCTTGTCTGTTTTTCATTACTGGTCTTGTGCAGAGGGGTTAGCACAAAGGATCATGGGACTTACAGGAGTAAGCATCACTTAGGTATGTGGACTGCATCCATGTAACTGCTCTTGCAAGATGTAACTGTTTTGCTTCAGAGATGAGCAGAGATTTATTTTTCTTCTTTGACCTGGAAGACAAAGAAGAAATTCAAGTTCTGCATTCAATAAGAAAAGCTAAGGCGTGTGAGATTGATCGGGAACCAACAGATTTTTTTTTTTTAACGGTCTGGCTCTTGTTCATAACTGTAGTCTTTTGAGTATAACCCTTTCGATTCTGGTTCCAGTTAAAGCAGCAGCTCTTTTAGACCTCCTGCCAAAGGTTGGAAGAGATGATTCACACAACTGTTATAAAAATATGGTAGGCCTGCATTCAACCCCATTAAAACCTAGCTTAGCTTAGTTTAGCATACATACAAGAACGATAGAAAGTGATGCAGCTCAAGGAAGAACATTTATGATCATTTCTTCAGGGAATTTAATCAGACTGAGACGCTATGGCCGAAGAACTACCACGTCTGCAGTACAAAATGATTATTATGATGATTATTACTTCAAGGAAATGATAAATAAATGATCATAAATGTTCTTCCTTGAGTTGTGTCACCCCGCAGCAGTCGGTGATGGACTTGTCTGAGGTCTCCATAAAAACAAGCGGCTCCTGGAAGAGAGTAGGTGAGTTGTGTTTAGTCTCTTTGCTAAAGAAATTAGGCAAAGCTTAAAGGATGTTTGGTGGCTAGTACTATGGCTAGGACCCTATATGTACTGTTGATGAAGTTAGGTGCTGTTCTGAGCATTATTTGTGGCTATAGAGTGGCTTTTTGTTTTTTTGTTTTTCCTAAAACCGCTGTGTATTGCTATCGTGCGGTCGTTACTAAAGTTGGTTTAACTAGAGAAGCAAGTGGTTGGCAACATTCATCTCTCAACGTGGTGTCTAACTCTGTGTTATGGTGTGTTTGACTCTAGCTTAATTTTATGCCGGAATATCCCTTTAAGACTGCTCTCTAATCTGGTGTTCTTGAATATTTTAAATTCAGATGCAGAAAAACTTCATCAAAATCATTTACGTACATAAGGTATCAATTTTTCTTCCAGAGGAGGGAAAAAAGGAACAGTTTAAGTCTACAGAGAGAAAATGACTGTCAATCTATTCCCAAATACCACAATATTCCTACATTACACATTATTATGCAGTAACATACACCTGCTGTATTTGGATGCAGGATAAGGAAGAGAGAGCAGAAATCAAGACTAGAAATGAGACTTAGCTTCAAAATAATGCACCCTGGAGTGTCTTTAAGCTACTGTAAGCATGATTTATTTGTAATGCACTGGATAACAACTAGGGAAACATCCAGATCAGAGGGACATATTTCTGTCCTAATACTTTTTCTCAAACTGCTAGTAGTGAAGCAAATCAAATTCCCCCTTAAGCCGAGCTACTGAGCGTGCTGTAAACGCTCAGCATGCACGGAGTCCCTTTCATTTACATTTGGTTTATGTTTGGTGAATATTGTGCTCTTTCTCTCATGCATGCTAATCCTGCGACCTTGGCCGTGTGTGGATTGTAGTACAGACGTACACAGGAGGGGCTGTGAGAGGGGATCAGGCCAAATACTCATGACATGCTCTGGTGCCCACCAAAACCCTGGCAAGGACACGCCCACGGATCTGGAAAAGAAAAGGTTTCCAGCAGAGGTGGCACTCAAGAGTGTCTGCTTATAACGCCACAACAGCAGCAACAATGGAGCATAATTGCAGCACATCAACTCTGTCTGTTGCAGACCTTTTAATGGCTTTGTCACTTGCACGCTTCAGGGAATGTACAGAAAAGTTCAGTCCTTGCAGATTTCAATCAGGGACGTTTGATTTGAAGAAAATGGCAGGCAGCAAGAAATAATGTTGTAGCTGTTAATTAAGACAGACAGTGAGGAATGTGAGGTTAAAGAGAGTCATTAGGTGTTTTGTTGGATTGCCAAGACGCAGGGTGGATTTTTTCCAAAACAAAAGTGGTTTGCCTCAAAACGGTTCATGCCTTGCTGCAGAGAAATTCAGAGTTGTACAGAGACTTATAGGAAGTATGAGTTGTTGTTGTTGTTTTTATTGACTGAATTCAGCCTTTCCCAGCTTGCTCAGACTTTTATCACTTTTATGGTTTTAGAGCACTTTCTCATACTGAAGTTACACAACAGAGGATGTCATTTTTCAACACATGAAAATACTATTTCTAACACATCGGGTGTCTAAAATAAAATCTGTTATAGTGAAGATAATCTCAGACTTCTGCACATTTATATTTATTTCCTAAATGCTTTGTGGGCTTTTTGGATCGCTATCCAATCTCCAAAAAGCTCCATATATAAATGTATCTGAGACGGATTAAATCTTGTTTCTCAGACACCCTTCCTGGGGTTGTAAGAGGTTTAAATGTATCTTCAGGAAACGCTGGTAGTTTTTATCCCTCCTACAGTGTTACTATGTCAGTTACCAGTCTGGGGATTATAGAGGGAAACTGTAAATAGTAACAAGCTTTGCCCTCATTACAGAGGGTTTTTGGTGGATTATTTATGCAGAATTGAACAACAATTGATTTCTTAAACCAGTGTTATCATACTTAAAACCTTAAGTGGTTGTTTCTTCGTGGAGTGTTGACCTTTCCATGCCCTTAAAAACATATCCCCATGACCTCATACCATTATCTCATCTCACACAGGTGCTCAAGACACACTTAACTTTAGATTTTAGGCAAAACTCAAACAGTGAAGAGTGGACATCTCAAGTGTCTTTTAATGAAAGTCAGAACTTTCCAGCTTGAGATCCAATATGTTCATATGCTCTACATATCTCTTGTTCCTATCTGCGGTTGTATGCTGAAGGAGAGAGAGCTATGTGATATATTCTACGTGTACAGAAATTTTATCCACCATCATGTTTTACTTCATATGTTCTGTGACTTTATCAGCAGTGACAGCACGTCTGAGGTGTATGCATGTGAGCACTCATGGATTCATTAGAGGAAGTGCTGTCAGTATAAATAACACTTGTTGACTCAGGTAGAGGGCACTTTTTCTGAAGTCCTTTTCAGAGCACAGGGCAATATAGAGACTAATGCAGCTTATTTAGCTTATTTAGCCAATTGTGTGTGTGTGTGTGTGTGTGTGTGTGTGTGTGTGTGTGTGTGTGTGTGTGTGTGTGTGTGTGTGTGTGTGTGTGTGCAGTTCTCTGACTGTGCTGGTGTGGAGAAAAGCCATTAGCAAAAAGCGTAAAACCAACATGCTTGACCACTTCTCGTCCTTGGTTACTTTGTGGTTAATGAGCACAGAGCAAGAGGCTCAGATGCGACTCAGAGTCCTGCTCTTCTCATCAAGTGCCTCTCCAGAGATTTACGCACCACACAAACCACACACTGCACTTCTATACACACACAACACACAGGTTAGAGCGTTGTGTCTGCACACTGTAGTATCACTCAACGACCTTCAACACATGCTGGTACAAAGTGAGTGCACTTAGTACACTGCAGTGGCTCCGCTGCTGCCCTAAAAATTGTCAATTTTTTGAGCTAGAAATGGCAGAGGAGATGTTTCAAACTGTTCTTTTGTTGGACTCTAGCTGGAGCAGAAACCATCTATAAACCTATTCAGGCTAGCCGGCCATGAATGTTTGCAGTGCCAAATAAAAAGACAGTTTTTTCCTCCCGTCCACTCCAGTAAAAATGTGCCGCTAATTCTCTGTTTTCTGTGTTTTAGTTCTGCTACAGCTGCAAGAAAAACAGACAAACCGTTGCATTTCAAAGCACTTCATTTTTAATTGCCATGGTTTTCCTCTTATCCCTGTCAGTGAAAACTTGAGTAATAAAAAGATTTAATTTCCTGTGACTGTTTCACTTCAACGGTTGCTTTAAAAAGGAAATTTTGATTTTGCAGAAAACTTTGAATCATATTTAAGCAGTAATACTGTTTGATGTTTTAACATGACTTTTAGGGGTTGACAGTTTTCTTTTTTTTTCTTCAAATGGTGGATGCTGATTATAAGGAGGCGGGTGCACCACAATAGCTAATGTACAATGTGGTTACCATGGTGAAGAAGAATCGTATATGCACAGTACAATCCAATTTACACGCTTATCTTGCCAATAACATGTTCTCAGTCGATTTTTGATAAACCCATGGCATAGAAAAACACATAAGGTGATGATACAGATCTCGGAGTATGGCTGATGTCATAAATAACATAAAACTTTATTGTTCGTGTGGTGAGAAAAAAATGTGTCATCAATTAAAAAAAGAAAACAGCAACTGAGGAAAATTGAGCTAACATTTGTAACAGGGTGCTTGTCACTTATGCTGCATTCCAGTTGTACTCGGAAGCCTGGATTTCCGAGCTCTGAGTCGGAAATTCATCTGGAACGCCCCCCTGAAGTCGGATTTCCGACTCGGAAAGTCAGACGATCCTCCCCAACCCCGACTTGACGATAAAGTCATATTCAAAGATGGCAGTGCAGTGCATCAACAGTAAAGAGTAACAGTGAAAGCTCTCGTAATATATCATTTATTAGCACTTCTGTTTAGTTTTTGTGAAATTAAATAAGTGATAAATGTTGTACTGCCCAACGTCTAACTGTGAACATGGTGCTATGGTATTTGTAGAGTAAAATACTGTGTTGTGCATTTTTTACAACTGGTATAGCTAACAACAACTAACCGCTGACAACAGTTTACAACAACTGACAACAGCTAACGACAGCTGACAATTGTAAACAACAGCAAACAACGGGTAACTGTAGGTGTCCATCTTGGTTTTCCTACTTGATAACTGGAATGCTGTCAACTCTGGCGTAACGTCGTTCCTAGCTCCAACATCCAACTTTAGAGGTAACTGGAATGTAGCATTATAGTAAAGGCACATGGCTCCAGTCCAAACTTATATTTTCACTACTGAGTGGAAGTAACAACACCATGATAGAGTAGAGTGTCTGTCCTTCATATCCACTAAAGTCTCTAGTTAAAAAATGCTGTGGGGAGCACCAAAATTGTGCAATCACAGCCTCACTGAACAGGCTGCCTGCAGTGTGTGCAGACATTAGAGTGCAGGTATCAGCTAATGCAGATTAGACCAAAATTACAGGTCTATCATTTGACCTCCAATCATTCACTTTCCTGACAGACATTTGATTTGCACAACCTGCTGTAAACAAAGACATGTAGAACAGAGATAACAGATGAAAGAAAAATGCTTTCTTGAAAATGTCAAGATTTATGATATAATCCTATGAACACAAGTTATATTGACAGATCAGAATAAGCTGTTGATGGAGAGATAGAAAGATAAAATGGAGATAAAACTATAGTATGAAGACAGAGGTATAGAGACAGAAATAGACATTTATGTATGGATGGACTTTGTTGATCCCAAACTCAGTGGTGTTACAGTGACTCTGCAGCATCAACAGGCTCATTTATTGTCACCAAGTTTTATGGGCAGAAAGTCCAACTCTCTGTGACGCCACTGTCTGGCTGGCAGTAAAACTGGTGTCCAGAAACACACCAGCTCCTGCTGCAGAGTTTTACCAAAGGTTTGATCAGAGAAAACGAAAAAGTTTCAAAACTTTGAGCGTCAAAAAAGTTCCTGCTTAAACTGAATCGACAGAATTTTGATATGTTTTTAAAAGTCATATTGGGGTTAGTAAGTATCAGCTACATCGGTTGTCGGCCATTCGAGTGGAATAGAGACGATGTGGCTCTTTAGATTTTTGATTGAATTTAGCTTGTGTCTGTTTTGTATTTTGTATCAATGACATCTACTGTGTCTTGCTCTTGAAGAGAGTGGGTACGAGGAGGATTGAGAGAAATATGTTGAAGAGGCGCACCACACATGACAAGCACAGGCACGTCTGTTTTGAATTGTGTGTTTGTGCGTGTGTGTGTGTGTAAGGACATAACATCAACGATGTGCCTCTGTCTCTCTGTGTTTAAATAACTCACTCAAATACCACAGAGTGACTCTCTCTGTCTCTCCAAGCTAATATCCAGGATTTCGAAAGCTTTCAGCTGTGATAGACCACTGCGCTCCATCGCTCTGCTGCTCTGAGTGCTGGTTGGGTGCGTGCCAGCGCAGAGTGCATCAGGATGACACCTAAGAGCCAATAATTACAGAGCAGAGAATCATGTGTATGTCAGCCTCTTGTTCTCTGCTTTTAGAGGAATGCAGTGTTTGGTGTACTGACCTCATCCTCAGTATATGTTTGTCTGGAAGATGTTTTTTTTTTCTGCGGAGGGTGAAAAGGGTGTTGTTCGGTATTTTATGCTTGTACCACACGCAAAACTCATCAACAATCCCTGAAAACATTCAGTCATTTCCTGTTATTTTCTGTCTTCGCCCTGATTCTGAGCCTGCACATGTAATCATATGGCACCATTTACACCTTTTTATGGCATAATCCTCTCACACACACAACAAACACTGGATTTACACACTGTCAGGCTCTGGTTATTATCTGCAAGGTGCAGCTGTCCCTCAGTGTGATGTGTGCACACTCCCTCTGACACACACACACACACACACACATGAATATGAGCCTAACACATCATATTGTACACACAAAATTGCAGCAGAGCTGCACAATGATTCCCAGTGATTACTAACAGAACGGCACATCTGCGAGACACACAGATACTGCAGACGTCACTCTCAGTCTGATACTGATTCAGAGCTGAGAGTTTTTATTTACAGCCTACTAAAGTGTGATTTTTTTTTTAAAAAAAACAGGAAATACTGATGTTGTCAGAGTGATGTCAGTTGAGACTGAGTCGATTGTTTGTGTAAGAACTGGAAGAAAACATGTGAAGTCCTTTTTTAATTTCCCCGTGACCTGCTCTTGTGTTTTCATCAAAGGTGTGTGTCCTCTCACTGAGCAGACAAACGGTGTCTCTGCTCTGATTTGGCTGACAGGCTATAGCAGCACAACGGAGCTGTGTTTAGATGCCAGTAGTTGGCGGCCAATAAACAACCACCACTTTGCTCCAAATAACAGGAGAAGCAGAGCTGTGATGACCTTGTAGTGACTTCTTTAGGCTTCTGTCAGGATGCTGCAGCGCCGCTTTGAGCTTCGTTGTCAAATCAAGTCAAACAGAGAGCCTTGAAGCTGTGCGCTGTTGTGTAGCTTTGCTTGGCAGGGAGCAGAGGTTCTTTTCCTTCAATATTTGTGTCTTGCATGTACTATAGCAGAGCTTGCTGTGAGATTAATATCAGCTCTGCTCCTCTCCGCTCTCCTCCAGGTTCTCTCTGCCTGGGCTGCAAGTGAACCCCTTTGTCCCTGTTGCCCCCTCGCCTTGTGACTTGGCTCAGGCTGCTCCAGTAAATCTGGGGCATGTTTACAGTCGGGGCTTTTAGGAGCCTCTTGGCAAGCGTATACCTACCAAGCAGCCGATCAATCGCCCCGCCCTTAGAGTACTATTAAACCCTAGAAAAATAGGTTGATCCTGCCCCGTTTGCTCTGAAATATGACGCCTGCCAAAGTGCTGGCACGGATTTAATTACTCAGCCAGACTGTGTCTGTAAACTGGCACCCTCTGATGATATCTTAGTTACCTAATAATGAGTGAGTGCACACTGAGCACACTCTGCTGTGATGTGAATGAAGAGATTATTCAGAGGCAGGCAAGTTTTAGGTAATGTCACCATTTGTGGTTTATTAACATTTACACTTAACAAAAACATTTGAACTTGAACCGAAAATGTGGCTTTGATTGGAGATTTATTTCACCCTTAAAAAGTGCATCTATGTGATCGGGAAGTAATTATTTACACAGCTTATTGCAGACTCAGTCTTTCTTCTTCTGTTAAAGAGTAGTAACAGTAACAGTATGTCGCATTTTGGGAAACTAGCTTTTCACTTTCTATCAAAAACCAGATATTATCTGAACCCTCAGTGTATCTGTGCTGTTAGCCACACTAGTTTGCTTAGCTTAGTATACAGAAAATCGAAACAACCCACTTAACTCTGTCCACAGGTCACACAGGTATCCCAAGTTTAATCAAAGAATTGTTTATGCTGTATTTGTGTAGTGGTTTTAGTCTTATCTGTGTTTTCTTTGGCCTGCTATGCATAAAAATCATATCTTATTAAACAAGCTCCAATTAAAACTGAATGGAAATGTTGCTGTGGTGGTAACAACACACTGGGATCATCAGTATGTAATAAAAGCATTTACTTCAGGGAGTAAATATAAACCGTATACAGGGAAGAAGTTAAAATCAACAGTTCAAATACACAGAGAAGTGAAGAAGTAAGTCCGACTTCTTCTGTTTGTACTTGGAGTAATTGAAGAAGTTTGTAGCTGCTTATTGTGTGTGCAAAAAAATACCGATTGTTTTTCACTATAAAGCAAACATTTGTGTAATCTCAGAGCAGCTGCTCTCTCAAACCCTCAGTGATATGAATTTGATCCTCCAATTGTTTAGAAAGAAGAAACATCTCTGCAGAAATTGTCCGTAAAATTGAGTTTTTATTCATGTTTTTTTTTATCATAGGATGTAAATTTGTGCTGGCTATAAGATCTATTTACTCTTTTGGATGTTTTCATTATTTCCCACAGACTCTTCCAGCTGTTTACTGTCACCAAAGGATATATTGTTTGAACTATGCCTCTGCACTCCGACTAGATCCTTTTTCAGCCTGTAGCCTGTCACATCCTCAGACATTAGAGGCTAATAAATAAAGGTTGGCTTTCAGGCATAACATTTAAATAACCTGTGCCACTTTCTAATTCGGCACCAGCAATAAAGCAGCCATATTGATAGGTGCAATAAGCATTAGCAGAGGTTAAAGTCCAGCCCGGTGACAGCCAGCTGATTAAACAGGCTGTTGATGAATGAACCTGGAGCCTGGCCGTGAAATGTCCTGCAGATCCCCGACATTCTGCAGCAAGTATGTCAAAAGACTCGACCGATCTGCTGCATCGGAAAGTGCATGAAAGAAATGTGGTTAAAAGGAGAGAGGGAGAAAAAGTGTTGAGATCCTGCAGCTTGACTGAACTCTGACTTTTATTACTGCCTGACCTGCACGCATCAGAAATCCATCTCACAGCGTTTTCTAAATAACATCTCCTCCTCCTATCTGCATGTTTCTTCATAGGTCAACATCTTAATCCAATCGTCCTGGTAACCACAACTCCCACTCAGGACCCCAGCCTCAACCTCCCCCAAGACACGCACACACACAAACACACACATACACACACTACTTCTAAGTAGCCTCTGACTGCTCCCAGAGTAAAACTTTCATGAGTTTGCTCCCCTGCTCGTTATTTTGTCTGTCTAAGAGGATGTTGCTGTGATTCATGTCAGGGAGTTTTAATATGCTGAGAGAAGGCTGTTTTTGGTTCCAGTGGATGGGTAAAACTCAGGGGAGCTGTGACAGTGAAGCGATGATATGTCCCCCTGTTGAGAGGAGAGATGGCTCTCCTTTTGTCTGCCAGCAGCGGGGTCCACTGGGACTCAGTATAGCTCACTTTATGAGCATTTAGGACATTTTTAACGGACTGGCTTTACCTTGAAACAAACCCGTTTCTCCTTCCCCACATAGAAGAGCTCTCTCTTGTCCTGGATGACCTAAGCATGACAATAGGAAGTCTTTTTTTCGTTATTTGTTAAATCTATCCCCTCTCTGGGTTTTAACGGCAGGCCCCTCTCTTCATTGACTCCAGATGTCGAACGTTTTACACAGAAAGAGGGCTGTTGATCTGGAAAAAGCCTAAGATTTGATTTTTGGACAAGATCTGGCTTGTGCAGCTGGCTCCCCCTCCCATAAGGGGAAGACTATCATCTGCCAAAGCGCCTGGAGTGTTAGTTGAACCATTTGTTTGAGAGCACATTGAAAAGTTTAAGTCGTGGGTTGTAAACATTTATTGCTGTTTACTGCCTTCATTTGCATCACGGTCCAGTGAACCACCTGGAGTGCTGAAGATAAACCAACTGCTGGTGTCTTTTTTTCCCTGCCGTCAGAAGTGTCTAAATTTGAATTCATTTAGATGGTTATACACGCAGAGAGGGCTGTAAATGGTTTAACTGCAGCAAATATTAGTGTTGACGACTCCCTGATACGAGCCAGTAATCTTATTTGGACAAGCAAATGGAGTATGTGACCCCCAGTGTTTTTGGCTTGGGGAGCACATGGAGTGCGTTTAATATGTTTGGAATGAGCGGAAACAGATAAACATTCACAAAGATGGAGAAAAACTGCGGAGGATTAGAAGTATGTAAGCAGAGGATGCACAAACATTTGATTACTCATACCCCGTGTCTTTGGTGTCCTCTAAAAGATGGTTAGTCATGTTGACCGGCATCAAGTGAAAACATCCACCCATCAGATCCTGACAAAAACAAACTCAGCTGTTCCCCTGAGGATCACAGGGACGGTAAACTAGTTTGCATCACTTACTGGATCTGTTGTTGCGATTAAATTTGGCAGTTTTTGCAGTCTATAACGCGGTGAGCGACTCTATAAAGCAGCTGATTGTTACAGCCGTCGCCTTTGACACAAACAGCCTCCAAAAATCAATCCAAACCTCTTGAAAGTGCCCTATCACAGTGGAAGGTTGTAAAAAGCTGCTGCTTGTGGAAGATCACGAGTTGTTGTCAATGCCAAAATGAGACGCTATAAATGCTATAAATGTGTTCTTTGAATCTGTACTTCATAACAAGAACCACTTGATTCTGCAGGCAGGGGAGTGATGTGGGGGGAAAAAGTAATTCATTTGACTTAGGGCCCACTGCTAAAGAGATCCACTTGAAGAGGGTTGGCGAGCAGCAGAATGAAGGAGATTTGGATTGGTGTTGAGCTGGAGAGGCTTTTACCCTGATGCCAGCGCAGAGAGCAGAGAGCTGGCCAGCACAGGAAAGTGTGGACGTGGCTCTCTGGCACACATGTGACATGTTTTCACAGAGCTACAGTAGGTTTTGGATGCCACCAGAGACAGGATGAACAGAGGGGCAGAGTCGAGGGATACAGAGATGATGACAACATACTCGATGATAGTTTTTCCCTCTTTGTGTAATAATTTGTTTTGACTGAAACTCACCACTGTTTATCACACTTCAGATGAAGTAATGTGATGTCTGTCCACCTGTTGGAGTGACCAACTAAATTTATGGCTATGAGAGGGAAAAACACATTTTCTTGGATTACTAAAAATCATGAAACGCATCCTGAAGGATAGTACAAAAACTGCAGCTCTGGCGAGCAGACGAATCTCCATTAGGCCCTGCGTAAAAATGCCAACTTTTACAGTAAAAAAAAAAAAAATATATATATATATATATATATACACAGCTGAGTTGGAAAGACTGACCTGTCTCAATTGCTTTCTCTTGTATTCATAAACACTGTACAGAAGGGAAGTGTTTTGGGTGCAAGGATCAAAAGTTTTGCACTACTTTGCAAAGGTATGGGCACAATTGAGTTCACAGATAACTTTAAAGTTGTTTGGCAGGAGGTTGTCGCTTTGTCTTGAACTGATCCATGGAAAGGTGAAAACGTTGAGCAAGCATTTCTAATACGGTAACAGCCGATGTTCAGCCGCACAACATCTCCCAAGAAACAGGAGGAGGGTGATGTCTGGACTTAGTCAATGTTTTTAACCATTTTTAGTTGAAATCTGTGACTCACTGATGATTTCTCTTTGATAAATGTGTTATCAATTTTATGTCTCAGTTTATATTGTAAGGATGGAAGAAAAAATACAGCAGTGTATCACTATATTTTGTCTGGTGATATATCATATCGTCTCATTTACAAAGTATTAAAATTTTAAACTAACTGCTAATATGAAGTCAAATCAATGATAATGAAAAAATCGACTGTTTGTCCAGTGAGGTTGGCAGAGGTGACATCATAGAGCAGGAGAAAGTTAGTACAACAAAAATATATATATATATAAGATTTGCAAGATATGCTACATGAAAATAAAATACAGCGTAAATAAGACAAACATAAAGGAAGGACAAATGCTCAATTGCCTTAACAGTTAAAAAAAATGTATAAATTGCAATATATTGTACCGCAATACTCACTGTATTGCGAAATGTTAAAACTCGCCATAATATCGTACCGTGGCCATAGTATCGTGATGATATCATATTATGGGGCAACTAGTGATTCCCACCCCTATTATATTGTGTCTGTTTTGTATATAAATTGCTAAATATGATGCAAATACAAATAAATTACAAATATGCTGTTTATGTGAAAAAACAATATTTTCTTTCTCATAACGTGGATATAATTCTTCAGCTGTAATAATGAGATGAGACTGAAGCCCTTAAACTTCCTCAATATTTATTTATTAATAATCCAGTTTGGTATGTAAATCATCAGTTGCTTTTCTCAAAGGCAAAAAACTTTCTTCCCAACTTGGAGAAATTGCACGCATCAAAGTTGAAGTTGTGTTTATGTGCTTGTGAACACCTTTATGTGTGTTCTTGTACTTGTACCACTATCAGGATAATGATCTGTACCAGCCTGCTCTCTCTTCTCCCCCCTCTTATGTGATAATAATCTCCAGAGTGTGTGTTTTTTCTCTCTACTCATCTTCCTAGATGCAAAGGAAAGGTCGGCCAAGAGATTCTCTGTAACTGGGGTCTTCAATTACACATCTCTGCTGCTCAGCCAGGAGGACGACATGCTGTATGTCGGAGCCAGGGAGGCGCTGTTCGCCCTCAGCTTGTCGGACATCAGCAAGACCAAGCTGCAGAAGAACGTGAGTACATGTCACATGGAAAAACTTGAATAAGAATGAGTGAAATACAGATTTGAGCCCAAAATGCCTGTGAACGAAAAAATCAAAGCAGTGCACTAGACTCCACATGTCATTTGAGGTGGCTTGTGTTTATTTACTCACCTCACCAGGTCTTCTGTGTTCATTGTGATATTAAAGAAACTCTCCTCAGTTAGATCAGCATGGTTTCCTGTACTCGGCATCACTTATTCAGGGTTTCTTTTTTCATCCTCAGCTGACGTGGGGCACTCCTGAAGGAAAAAGAGAGGAATGTGGCTTCAAAGGGAAGAACCTGGAGGTGAGAGGCATCTTTGACTGCTGCAGCACAATAATAAAAACACCCCAGGAAAATAGTTGTGTAAAGACACTATGGAAAGGATGAATTCACTTGTATGGGTATTTGTTCTTTCCTGGCGGTGCTCTCTGAATTGTTTCACTGCTGTTTTGAGAAGATAAACTGAGTACTGTGTTGACAAACCTTTCCACTTCTTACAAATAGATTCATCAAGTGTTCAGACTCAACAGGGAATTGCTTCTTTTTGAGTGTGTGTGCACTGCTGCTTCTTCTCTCTGTCTATTACTGTGTTGTCATGCCAGCTGTTGTATCCCTGGGCGACAAACCTTGGTACTCTTTGTACTACAGCATACAGCTATGCCTGTGTATAACAAAGGAGCTGAGAGATGCTGGGAGGTTTTCCCCACAGCATTTTTATGTTTCTAACGATTTATATCGAACACTTTCGAAAGTATTTGCCAGGCACAGATTGCTAAGGATTTCTCAAGAAAAGCATGTGCAGTTGTTGGAATTCAGTTTGACTTTCTCTCTCTGATTTGTTCCCCTTACAGACTGATTGCTTCAATTACATCAAAATCCTCCTGCGGCTGAACAGCACTCATCTCTATGTGTGTGGCACATATGCCTTCAGCCCTATTTGCGCCTACATAGTGAGTATTAACCTCTCATTCTGACCTCGGAGAGCGAGGTTTTTCTTCTTTTGTAGAAACTTGATTTCTATTTTCTCCGTAGCAGAGTTTTGAATTTCTTCATATTTCTCCGGTGCTCTTTGGGAATCCACCATGTCAGTATTGGATCTGCAGTTATCCAGGCGTGACCAAATGCTGCTGAGGCACTTTAGCCAGACAAGTCAACAGGGGGTACACAAGCTGTGTGGTTTCCAGCGAGAGGAAAGCACAAGATCTGTTTGTGTTGCGGAGGAGTAAATCTGGAGCGTTGGTGACCGGCAGCAGGATGACATTGATTTCAGTGATAGGGGGTAGTCAAGCTTGGCGACAGCTCGGATCTTAAAGCCGGGTATTAGACTCTGTCCTTTGACGTCAGTGTGGAAGAAAATAACGGGAAGTCTCAGACTGAAGATGACCTTGAAGGACTTAGGTCCTGAACTAGGATTCCAGACAACTCTGAGCACGGATGGCTTGTACGAACATTCGTCATTATGACTGAGTCCAGATCTGTTTGTGTGCGTGTGTGCGTGTGTGTGTGTGTGTGTGTGTGTGTCATCCAGGGAATTCCTTCCGACCAGACACTCTCAGAAATGTATGATATTAACGTGAATAAATGTTTTGTTTTTATAGCTGTTCTCAAAACAGACTCCGAGCGTTTTACAGGCAGTCGTACTCTCAAGCCAAGAAGATCCAGTAAACAATCCAGTGACAGACATGAATTAACACAAGGCCTGAGTGTAACAATAACTCATCAGGACGGAGCATGGGAAGATTCTCCATGCAGAGGCACTTTGTACTGTCAAGTTTGATTTGATTAGCTGTAAATGGAACAAGTTCTTTCTAATGCGAAGAATTGCCCACATTTCACTACAAGCGTATGTGTGCGTGTCTGTCCCTCCGTGCGTGTGGGTGTGTGTGTGTGTGTGTATGTGTGCGTCTTCTGTTATACTCTGTGCCAAACTACTTCAGCTTTCCTTCAGCCCACATTACTGAGCTTACTTGCACAAATCATACGTGCCAAAAAGTCATGGTGGCGTTACAACAGAATCGCTGCAGTTTTGATGAATTCATCAGTGTTGGCATGTCGCTTTTGTTTAGCAAAAGACTTTAAAAAAAAAAAAAAAACTAGCCTGAAAACAAACCAGATCATACAGTTTGATCATAACTCCAATGTGCCAATTTTAATGTCAAGTCCCAGGTACAAATGCAGCATTTTTGATGTTTTTCTGCTTCACATTGTGTTTTCTTACAATGTAAGGAGTGTTGCTTCTCTGTCGTTCAATAAAACTGAATGATTTTTGAGATTGCAAAATGAGAAACAAAACAAGAACATAATCATTACAAGGTGTTATCCACACTTACCATCATATAAGAGGCATTTTGAAGAGAAAACCTTCCTGCCCACTTTTTACAGGCTGTCGGCTAAAATTTCAAACCCCCAATTAACTCAGGTAATGTTGTTTTATTTCAGACATAACAAAGATGATCCAGACTGAAGAAGACATGATTGTATGTTTGTAGGAGACAAATAGTAATGCTTATGTTTACACCACGTATACACTCAATATGACTTGAACGAGGCGCAGACGCTGAGGATGAACTAAATATGATCGAGGGTTGTTTATTGACTGAAACCAAATCTTATTTTTGTGTCATCAGGTTCATTATGACACTCGTCTACTGCCAGTTTTAACCCAAACTACATGATGGCTGACTTTAGGAAAAGTTCTTTGTGACAGGGGAATAGAAGGACAAAGGTGGTGTTTTCTTTATCAAACTCTGTGGAAAAGAACAAACCCACAGTGCTTGAGTCCTTCCCTCAATATTTCTCTATTTGTCAGTCTTTGGGTTTATCAGTTCCCACTTTTAACAGGAATCTCTAAATGGGCCAGTCAGTGTTTTTCTGAACCAGCTGGACTGTAGATTTGAGCAAACATTACCTAAACAGGAGTAAAAATTGCAAATCAGGACTTATTCTTGTGCAAATGGTTGATGAAACATTAGGTTAGAACCACGCCATCAGTTCGAGGTGCCGTAGTGTCACTGATGTTTTATGATTTTTAATGAGATTGGCCTTTAATTCTCTAACGTAGAGATAACATTTTGCTCTTGACATTTGGCTAATTTACCAGGCGGAGGTTTAGTATTACCAAACTAACATTTGGCATGTGATTGACTGCAGTGGATAAACGGAGAGAAAGAGCCAGAGGTTTCTGAGCTCACTTTGGCTCACTCTTTAGTGTAAGTACACTTTAATTGGATTGTGCCTGAGGGACATGTGTGCTGTGTGTGTGTGTGTCTCCAGAACACATCAACGTTCACACTGGAGAAAGATGAAGTGGGAGAGGTCGTGATGGAAGACGGGCGCAGCCGCTGCCCCTTTAATCCAGAATACAAATCCACAGCCATCATCGTTGGTAAGTAGGAATACAAAGACGTCTTTTTTCTGTCTGTGTGACTTTAAACTTTCGTCATGTGAACAACATTACATGTGGCTTCTGTCTGAAAAAACAGGCTCAGCTTTTTTCTGGAGCGACTTTGATGCTAACTACAGCTTTGATTTAGTAATGAGTCCTGATTCGCCCGCTAATGTCGTCTGTCTGTGTCAGTCTTTCTGATAAATAGCCGGACACCAGCAGACTCTGTTTGTGTTCAACTTCTGTAACAAGCAATTAGTGAATAATTGAGCTGGATTTAAGTGGAAGAAATGATTTGTCTAAGCTGCCTCTCTGGCTGCTCTCACTTCACTCCACACTACTTCAGACTCCAGAGAGCCCCCAGCACATCACTTCTTTATATTTGATTTTGTTTGATTAACAGTATAGCAGACTCACTCTTTACTTCAAACCTCACAATCTCCCTTCTTTCTTCTTCCAGATGGTGAATTGTACACTGGTACTGTCAGCAATTTCCAAGGGAACGAACCCGTCATTTACAAGAGTTTGGGTCAGGGAACGGCTCTAAAGACAGAAAACTCTTTAAAGTGGCTGCAAGGTAAACTCCATTTCAACCCAGACGATGAACTGTGTTTTCCCTTCACACATCTTCCATTATGTACCCGACAGAGCAGATAAGCTTGGAAAAGTAGCGATCATTAGTCACTAATGCATGCAGACTGAGAGCAAAGACAAGCTGTATCAGTCAAAGCACATGCACTTCAAAACCCTGACACACACACACGCACACACTCCTCTGTAAACTCTCTTCAAAGGTCTGATGGCACAAAATGATAAAAAGGCTTAAAAAGGTCCCCTTGCATTAATAATAAAAGTTTAACATCTATTTCTTCTCCTTTCGTGTTTTCTCTATTTTTAACAGATCCAGTCTTTGTAGGCTCAGCTTACATCGAGGAGAGTCAGCCAATAGGAAACCCCGTGGGAGACGACGACAAGATATACTTCTTTTTTAGTGAGGCAGGGAAAGAATTCGACTTCTTTGACAACACCATTGTGTCAAGGATTGCTCGCGTGTGTAAGGTAAGACACCCGGGGTTGGGCTAAGGTTTTTACACAAGACATATATGCGAAGAAAAAAAGAAGAAGAAGAAGAGCAGCAGGGTTTAAGCGTCCTCTCCTTAATCCTGATACCATTACCTCAAAACAAGGCGGGACACTCCCATGTCAAAGCACGTTTGGTGGCATTTAACTGTACAAGTGCGTGTAATGGAAACATGCCACTGGTGCATTAAAGCTTTCTTTATTTGACCGTGTAAAACATGTTTTCAGCCGATTTGGTTTCCCCTCGCCTGAATCATCATCATCCTCCTCCACGACATGCCGCCCTCCCTCCCTCCCTTTTTCTTCTGCAATGTCACTCCCCCTCTCCTTCCATCTCCCTCACAATGTCAGCTGCACTTGTCCGTCCCTCTAGCTTTTTGCCTTTCTCCACCAGCGCTTTGAGCTTTGCAGGCATTATTAGTATTCAAGGGGGCTTCGCAGCAATATGAAATGCTTTTTTCCACTCTACGCTATGGTCTGTTTTTGTTGCAGGCAAACTGTAGCAACTGCAGAATTTACTCACGTCACTTAAACTACTGACGTCATGCCCCTCCTCCCTCCCTCTCTGGAGTTTAGTTTGGTCGAGCACCCTGAAAAATCAACAGCAGACTTTGTCTCTTTTCACCTGTCGTTTGATCAATTAGAGCGCTATGAAGCTGCATGATATACACGCACCCAGCATCCTCCCTGACTGATGCTCTTGTTCATGAAGGCATTAATGTGAGTAATCGCGGGGACAGCATGTAATCTTAAGTGACAGCTTAATGACTTAGTCCTGCTAGGCTCTGCCACTCGGTGCTGCGACACCTCTGTGATTCGGCAGAGCACCTTCTGAGTTCTATATATGGAAATCATTGACAGAAAGGCCCCAGACTGTGGCAACTCACTGCAGATGAACTGTGCAATCGAGACAGAAGAATGGCTTTCTCTGCGTTATAAAGAGCTTTTATTTCAGTGGAATGCAGCAGCCCTCGTTCGTTCGTTCGTCGCACTGTTTTCTTTTCAGGGTCTGTCTGAGTCTGTGGCAGTGCAGCAGTGATGCAGGTGCTTTCGTCTCCGCCGTGCAGGGTCACAGCCTGACAACATTTACAAATAAGTGTGTCAAGGTGACCCATGTGAATTTGTCCCACTAATCAGATTAAAAGTAATGCCATCCATCCAACTTCTTCACACGGGTGTGTGATTTTAGTTCTTGACTCTCCAGGAGCAGTACATTTCCATTAGTTTCATTCTTTTCTGTTTACAACCACATCAGCCGCCCCTTTGCTCCAGGAGATAATGTCTGCTTTCTGCAAGGGTTCAACGTACGGTGAAAATTTAGTGAGAGGAGTGTAACGATAAAAATAAGCCGGTGTCACTGATTGTTCGCATAGAAACACAGCTCTTGGTATAGACATGCGTAGTGGTGGTGCGGTTACTTTTGTGTCTTTCTCTAGAACAAAAGTGTTAAAAGCTCGACACCGAAAACTCACCTACAAACTTGAAGTTTCCCATAATGCTTTTTTGTTACCACTTCAATGTTGCTTCAGACTCTTGAGTGAGTTCTAATATGGGATGTTTATTTCTGAACTCTTTATTTTACTTTATCGACCCCCTAGTGCAAAGCCTTTCAGATACATAGATGTTCAAAAGATGCAAAAGCCACTCTGTTTCTACAGATACACTTATTGTGCCTTTATGTTTAGATCAGACAAATTTATAACTCAGCCTTGGATCTAAAGTTTGATGCAGGTTGTGGGAATCAGGTTTACTTTTGAAGTCCTTTAATTGCCTCCATCGGCTGAGCGTCTCTTCCACTGCAGCTGCAGGTGTTTTTTCAGCATGCACCTGTCCACCTCTCGGTTTCTTTATCTCACTGAAACACTGTCATGTCTACCCCAGTGGAAAAAAACTCAACTCTGACAGCAGAAATAAGACAGGCCTATCACTGCAGAGAAGTGTAAAATGTCTGTGAGAAACCAGCCCTTGAGTTCCTGTAGCTGGAAATCTGAACCTATGAACGTTTTCTCTGTTTTCAGGAAAAGTGTATAAAGTTTTAGCACACACCCTCTGTGCACTCCCTAAATCAGCAGAAAGTGCTGAACCTCGAATTATTGTTAGGTAACACTGAGGTATGAAGGCCCCTCCCAGCTTGTGGCTTCAGTATCTGTAGCACACTGACAGAGAGCGTGTACTCCCTTTTCTCTCTGAGCACCAGACCAAGGCCAAATATGTGTGAATGTGGTTTTATGTTAATATCTGGAATAGTTTGGATGTTAATCTTGGCAAACATTTTTCTACCTTTTCAAGATGACATGTTTCCCTTAAGATAAGACAAATCAAAAGCCTGGCAGTGTTTTCACGCTGTTCAAACTACTGTTTCACTCTAGTTTGTCAAGTAAACTGCTTCCAAGTTGTTTTTTCCTCCCCTTTTTTCCCAACTGTCCCTCTCACTCCTTCTTTCTTTTGTTTATTCAGGTGTGCACACTGAGGGACTGAGGGAAGCAGGCAGATTATAAACATCGTAGGGCACTTTTTTTTGCTCTTTTTCAACCGTGTGAGAAACGTGTAATGGGAGGTTCAGGTGAAATAAGAAAGCAGAGAGGGGAAGATGTTTTCGGAGGGCCGCTATTGAGGGGAGTGGTCGATGTGATTGAAAATACGAGCTGCGCAGTAGAGCACAGCAACAACAGCGTGGACAGCTGAGAGAGCAGGAATGCGGACTCCTCATTATGTGGACAGGCTACTACCACAGCTTGGTAATTGGCTCCCAGGCCAGGCATCAGTCCCATGAGGTTTCACCTCTCCGCTGAGCCACATGATTGTTTGTGTGTGAGCGCACACAGAGGAGGAAATGGAGGTAGTCATAGTTGTGCATTTTTTTATCTCTCCTGGTGCTGTGTTGTAGGAGTTGTTCGGGGTTTTGGAGGCAGTGTTGTTGACGGGAGAGTTTGGATATCAGGCAGGAGAGTTGTCTTGAGATTGGGCGAGACCACTTGTTTTTGTCATGTTCTTCCTCCTCCACCTCCCTCTCCTCCTGTCCCTCCTGTGTTTTTCAGCTTACTAGCTCTTTTTAAAGGAGTGTCTTTTGATAATTGCTAGTCACAGTGAAGCGGTCTGATAACTGTTTAGGTGAGCATTTCCAGACAGCTGAAATGGTCAAAAGCCTCCTCTATATCTCAGAGAAATGAGGTCTGTACGGCTGATGTTGACTTCAAAGCTCAAATTAATAGCTAACCACTGTTTGTTTTTAATTTCAGTGTCTCTTTTCCTTCAAAGAGCAGATTATTTTTGTCCGCTTTTTAATCTTCCACATTTTACTATCAGAACATCCTGTTAAATTTGATTTAAATGCACAAGAAGAAAGGACTTGAACACTTGAAATTAATCAGAACAATAATATTCTGGTTGTGATTGTTTCTACAATCATTTTCCTAAAATAACAGATGATAACTGATTTCACGTTTTCTTTGTTTGGCCCCAACAGCACCCTCTAGAAAATCCAGTCCGCACCCTCACAAAACTAGCTCTTATTTCCTGTAACATACATATGTTTGAGTGTCTCTGCACAAATGCAAACATTGACATTAACACACGTTAACCCCCTGATAGTTTCTCCATGCTCACTTTAAATTTGTATTGTGTATGTAAGACCTGATTCAGTGACGTCATGACTTTAAACCTCCAGCAGTCGTACAATGAGACTCACGTAAACTGACAGATTTAACCCAAAAGTTGTACAGATAATGAAACATGTAAATAAGTAAAATAAATAATTTGAATTAACCCAGAAATGTTGTATGTAGTATTTTTCTTAGTTTTGCATCTTAGCATGTCTGCTCTTGGAGACAAGGAGGGCTCTTACTCACACAATGATACTCTATTAATCATTGATCTTTCCATTGTGCAGATTTTTGGGCACCCATTGTTCAGAGTTTTTGTTATTGTGCAGCCTCAGGAGATAAAGCTGGCTTGTGGGTGGGATACCCACTCTAAACTCTGTTTCCTGTCACTCCATGTGATTTTTTCCCAAATCTCACTGTGATACTATAACTCTTATCTCTGAATCATCAATGGTCGTGTACCTCAGCCTGGAGCAGGAGTATGCTCAGCAGGAGGGTTTGGCATGGACTTTTTTTCCCTGTTATTTTCTCCTCCTGCCTCCAGAGCTCAATTCCTGTTGACACTTTTTATCTGAAATATGAGTCTTCATTCAAACATGGACTGGAAAGTTCCTATTGGAACTGTAATGAGCCATTGGAAATATACAGTATTTGGATTCGTCAGGCTGTCTGAAGTAGTTTGCTGTTATATCCGACGCTCTCATTGTAACCCGACCATTGAGTTGGGGTCAAATATATTTATAGAGGAGTGAAACTCTCTTTGCAGACTTGAGTACATCCTCCGTCTTTCCTCTCGTCTCAGCAGAAAGGGCTGGAACACTGTTTTCTCTTTCACTTTTTATTACCCAAGCCAAGGAGTCCAAATGTAACAACAGTGTGAGGCAAAGTTACAGAGAAGTCTGTGTAAAGAGCCTTTTTTTTTCTCAAATTGAACATCATTTTTTAGCCCAGACAGAGCAATAAAGGTATCACAAAGGTTGTGGTCGTGATATATTGCCATCTCATTTTTTCCCCATCCCTAACATTACGGCTGGTCTTATCTCTTCTCCACATTTCTGGTCTTTGGACCCCACCCACCTTTCATTTTTCGGACACAGCTTTTACAGATTATTATCATTTTGTGAGATGACTGAACCTGTACAAATAAAGGCTGAGCTAGACTCAGGCTCTCTTGTATTCACGCACTTTTGCTTCTGTCTGCAGGGGGATAAAGGTGGTGAGCGGGTGCTTCAGAAGAAATGGACCACCTTCCTGAAGGCCCAGCTGCTGTGCTCCCTCCCTGACGACGGCTTCCCCTTTAACATCATCCAGGACATGTTTGTCCTGAAACCTATGGGCGACAGCTGGGAGAGCACCGTCTTCTACGGCGTCTTCACCTCACAGTGGTAAGACACCAGTGAAAGGGTTTGTTCTTATCCCGAAACAAAGAGTCGAATGTGTTTCATTTATTCTAATTCATGGCACGGTTACAGTTAATGTTTATGCACAAACACACTCAGACACTTGAATCTACAAAGCTTTCACACATCATCTTGAGCCAGTTTTTATTTAATATCTACGCTCAAACTTGGCAAGTAGCGTTTTGTTACTTGGCTGCTCTGAATTTAGAGCAGCTGTAATGAGCTTAAACACTAACACAAGCTCATGCTACCCCAATGGCTAATTAATGTATCAACAAAATAAAGGATTTAATATGGAAATCATTCAAGCGCCCACTCTACAACTGTTCTCCAGTGAGAAGTTGCTGCTCCAGTTTCATGAATAAAATAAAAGGACTGCAGGAAGGCTTGAATGTGTAGAAAATGGAAACACGCTGTTATAAAAACCAGAGCACATGTGAAACAAAATCTTGAAATGGTTCAGTTTTTACGCAGCAAAGACATATGGAACCTAGTAGCATAAATTCCAAATGGAGAAAGAGTTCATCTGTTGATGTATTTCCAGGTATAAAGGAGCTTCAGGCAGCTCAGCCGTGTGTGCGTTCACCATGGCACAGGTGGAAAAAGCCTTCAGCGGGCGCTACAGAGAGGTCAACAGAGAGACGCAGCAGTGGTACACCTACAACCACCCAGTGCCAGAGCCACGGCCCGGAGCGGTGAGTGAATCACACTCAGGATCCTGTGATAAACAAAACATTTCAGCTCGTTCTGGTTTAGCCAGCGCATCTCTTCTCACAGGCAAAGTCAGTTTCTATTTAGTCAAAACAAGATGTGTTTAAAGGGCAAAAATTGCAGCAGTTTGTTTTTCACAATCTCATGCACATTTATTGGAAGTCAACCAGATCCTTTAATGTTATTAGTTTGATGCAGAGTTGGTATGTTGGTGCTCTGAAAGCAGTTTTTCTCAGGATTGTTTTTCCTTTTGTATTTTCTACATGTTCCCCCTCTCTTCACCACAGCAGCTGATGTACGAGAAGAAGCTATGCAAAATCTTCTCAATAATATTTTTATTCGTTTTATACAGATTATACAAAGGAAACATATCACAAACACCCCCTTTCCCTCAAAACCCCGTCTACTGCTGGATATACCTATTACTCTGCTTAAATAACAAATTCTTAACAAAAAAAATACAAGTGCTGGAATTCGGGTTTTGTAGATCTTGAAATACATAAGATGTTGAGGAATAAAAAGTAGAAATAGAATAAGTTAAATGAACTACTGTACATTAAGCTATGCAAAGTCTTAAGTGATTTTTGGATTATAAGATTCTTGATCTTTGAATTGATCTGGATATTTTTGCTTTAAGTGTTTTTTCTAACCTAGTCTATAATCTTTTATTACTCAAAGAAATTTTACTGTTGACTCTCCTTCAGTTTCTGCCTCATTTGTCATGATTTTTCTGTTGAAACCCTCTTTATCAACAATTACATGGCCATGAAATTGTATGAATATATAAAGCCAAACACTTTTCATCCATAAAGTCAGGCCATGGTTTTTACATACTGTTCATTCTCATCATATTCTTACATTTCCAGGACTGCTTTAATGAGTGAAGTTTTCTTTTCCATCTCCTCACAGTGCGTGACCAACCATGTCAGACAAATGGGGATCCAGTCATCCTTGCACATGCCTGATAAAGTCCTCAACTTTGTCAAGGACCATTTCCTGATGGACAGCGTGATCCGCAGCTCCCCTCTGCTGCTGAAGCGCAGCGTACGCTACACACAAATCGCTGTGCATAAGATCGAAGGCATGGAAAGAGCCTACGATGTGCTATTCATTGGAACAGGTACAATTTGTTATTCATCAGAAGGAAATTTTGCAGGTGTTTCCAGAGGGTTTAAGGGGAAAATCTTCAGAGGAGAAGTACAAATTAGATCCATATGTTGAATTTGATCTCTCTTCGCAGCAGAAGTTGCTTCAATCCCTTCAAACTTTCCCCTGCCAGTAATTAAAGTCCCTGCCTCTCTTCCTCTTTTCCTCTCAGATGATGGAAAGCTCCATAAAGCCATCAATGCCAACGATAAGATGCACATCATCGAGGAGATGGTTCTGTTTCCTGAGCCTCAGCCTGTGCAGCACATTGAACTCGATCCTCAGAGGGTAAATAGCACTCTGTCATCTTAATGATTATTGTTTCACTGTGTTTGTCAGTTTCTGCTTAATGCCTCATCATGTTTACTCATTATAAACTTGGACTCATTTCCGAGCGATAAAAACATGAAAGAGCCAAATTTAGCAGAGCTGACTGTCTGTCTTCAGACATTTTCTATCAGCGGTGGCCATTCCATTGAGTTTTCCTGTAAGTTATAGCTCCGTCTGGAACTGATTTTATTATCCTCTCTGGCATTTTACCCAGAGCTGAATTTCATTACCTTTCTCTCTTTATTACATAATAGTCTCCCCCAGGCAAAGGCAGCCAAACAGCAATCTTATCTATGATTATGTAATGCTTACATAGTCCAAGATACTTTTGTGAGTATATTCTTAGCTCCAAATAGGGATATTAAAGACAGGCATGATGTCCATCTAATATGCTGTAGACAATATGGCCTAAATATAGACTGCACTGTTGGGAAAACAGGCATGTGCTGTAAGTCAGAATTAATGTCACATTTGTCTCAAATAGCATTTCTGGATAGTGCTGATTTAAAACGATAATACCTTATGTTTGAAAAGTGTTGAAGATGAGGAGGAGGAGGAGTAGGTTATGATGAAGAGAGTTCTGTGTAGCAGCCCCTCCAGTCTGGTCACCATGTGTTTTTGAACACAATCAAACAACTTGGTTGGCAGCAGCTGGCCTGACTTAGTCTTCTATTTATGTTGGATTATTCTGTTTATCTGTGAGCATGTTTTCCCCTTCAGAAATCAAGGAGAGTAACCAAAATGAGACGCTGTGTTCAGCGCTTTATTCACCTTTTAATAGGAGTATCTGATAGACTCACACATGGTTATTCTCTCCTGCAGGGTTTGTTGTTTGTGTCATCTGACTCTGGCCTGGTGGAGGTTCCTGTGGCCAACTGCTCCAACTACCTGAGCTGTGGAGAGTGTGTGTTATCCAGAGACCCGTACTGCGCCTGGACTGGACGCCTGTGCCGCGATGTCAGGATGGCTCCACCTGACAGGTGAGAAGTAACACACATTCATATCTAAAAACATTCCCAAAAATATGAATTTGAATGTCTTTATCTGCTCGTGATTGTTTTTGTTTACGAAGACACTGTTGGCAGAATTTAGGAGTTTCACAAGTTACTCTGAACGGCAAAAAAGTCACAACACCAAGCAGAGAATGAATAACCTCAAGTCTGTGATTTAAACAAGTAGAAAAGAGGAACAAAAACAGGTGTACCACTAAAACTTTTAACAAGCATGCAGTACGATTGTTATCCATAATCTACAGACACAAACACCAAACTTCTGACAAGAACCTTATTTTGAACTTTGAGAGGTTTTGTCTCCTTATTTTTTAAGCTGATGAAACCACACAGAGAGCTTAGATGTAGTGTTATTTTTTATTTTGTTATTTTGTCCCCTTTATTTCACCATAATGGACTATTTTTGACGTGTTTGATGTAAATCTGCACCCAAACAAAAACACAAAGCTCATAGTCACGTGACAGAACAGGTAGTTTTAAAGGACGATTGTTCTCTGAGTCACGATGATGAAGCTATCGTCTGGTTTTAAATGACAGGCTTGAAAACAAAAATTGGTGGCTCCATACAAGGTGCCTTTCATTACAGCTGCTGACCCACACCCTGTTGTTTTGTTGTTGTTTTTTTCCTCAGTCACTGGCAGCAGGATGTGGAGGAGGCCGATACGTCAGCCATTTGTAACAAGACATTTCCCAGTGCCAGAGCTGCCAGACCAGCTGCTACTCGTGAGTGTGATTTCTCTGTGTGTATATAGGTGTTTTTGATCAAGGTATTTTCAGTCATTTACGCATCAAATCAAAATTCATACAGAGCTGAAAAGCACCCTACAGCCATTATGCATGGAAAAAAGAGGGATTAGGACAGTTGATAACGTAGACATACAAACACAACATTAATAAAAGCTGAACTAAAGGTTCTTCAACATTTGGGAGGTTAGTTTTTTAGGAGGTATATTAACCTCAAGAGATATTGAAGAGCAAATACATAAATATCTGTGGAGTGACTGTGTGATGCAGTTTGAACGCTGAACTCTTAAATTCAATTCATATTTATTTTATTTTGGCACCGACATTGTAGCTTTTATTTTTTTTCTTGTATCGTGTCATATTACTTCTAGAACTGCAGAAGTATTGCATACTGTCCTTTTCTACTGAACGCTGGAATTGTTGAGTTATGGAGCTTATCAGTTCATTTAAATGTTGTTAGTACTGTACATTATACGTTGATAAAGTTACCACTTTACCACTTTATCACTGCATTATGTACATCTGAAAATGTTGTTTCCTCTTTTGACTCTTCAAAGGAATTGCTTCATTTTTTGGACATGTGCTTTCTGAACCTTCTTACGGAGCAGACAACTAGATCAACCACACACTGTGTCAGGGTGACAGCTATAGCAACTATTTCAATAATAACCTGACACAGCTTATCCTGGCATCCAACTTGAACCTAAACTTTTCATTTTTACAGTGCTGTTTTTGCTCTTAATAAACAAACAGGGTCTAATATAATAATCTGGCAGCTGTAGCATGTTTATGGATAGATTTTGTTGTCTCCGGATAAAAGTTGTCTGTTGCCCTTTTTTCTGTCTTAACTCATTCAGTGCCAATAACGAATTTTTCAGTTTTTGTGTTTTCCGAGGGCGCTCCTCCCCAACATGCGACTAAGTTTGGGGTTGTTCTGAATGCAGAAAAGCCGATAAATATGTCATAACCATGTTACAATAACAAAAACAAGTACTCGCCAGTGAGAAGTGTGCCATCAAGACTGCCAATTAGCCTAGTTGTGGAGTGATTTTTCTCTAAGGAGAGTAGAAAATGCCGAAGTCATCAGAGCAAACACCATTGGATCCAGTGGAGATCCCGGTACTGGACCCTCACATTATCAGCAGACAATCAAAGAAACAATTTTCCGGCATGTCGTTGTGCTTCTGGTACCGGTATTGATGAGCAAGACTGGGCCAGAATTCAGTGACAGTCATGGCGACAAGGATGCGAGCAGTCCGTGTGGTTTACATTGTGGCAACTCGCAGCCGTCACAAAGTGATCTATCACAATTGGATTTCGAGGAGTGGTGTCCAAGAAGGGAGGAACTTGATGCCACCGGTAAAGTAGTTGAAATTGACAATCAGAGTTCTGACGATCAAAGTCTCTCCTTTATAAAAACATATTTTTCCCAGAATTCTTTTTCCAGATCGGCAAAGATGATAGGACGAAGCTGCATTAATCAGGCAATAACTAAACGCAGGAGTGGATGAGAGACTAACTTTTTTTCTGGTGAAAGAAGAGAATCACCCTTTTCTTTTGAGATATCGCACTTAATTCTAGTCCAAGCACAAGATATTCTGTGGGTCCTGAAAGATGCTGAAATTTCTATCGCGGTCGATGGTGGCACTGGGTGAAAATCGCATAAATAAACCTGGCACTGAATGAGTTAAGGTTTACAACATGTTGAACTCACTCCATGCTTACTTGAGCTGACTTTGATTCATTTATTCTTCTTTTGTAGGTGGCTCCCACTGCAAGCTCATAACAATCCCAGCGAGCACGTTCAGAGTGCTGCCCTGTAAGCTGCGCTCTAACCTGGCTCAGAGGAGGTGGCGTTACAGCGACAGTGCCAGCCAGTTCCTCTACGCTACTCCTGAGGGGAACCTGGTTGTTGTGGCACAAGCTGACAGGATAGAGACCTACGAGTGCTGGTCAGAGGAGGAGGGTTTCCGCCAGCTGTTGGCCAACTACTGTGTAAGGGCAGAGCCCCGGCAAGAAAGCACCACTCTGATCGGTCACTCTCGCACACCGCACATTGAGCAAGAGGAGACCATCATCCTGCCGGGCGAGTCTCGTTCTGAGCAGGTCAACACAAAGACATACTGGAACGAGCTGATCGTGGTCTGCGCTCTGCTGGCGTTCTCCCTGGTGGTGTTCTCGTTGTTCGTCATTTACAGAAACAGAGATCACATGAAGTCCATGCTGAAGCATAACGAGTGCCCCAACATGCAGCAGAAGAAGCCGAGGATTGTGGGAAAACCCGCGGAGAGCTTACCCCTGAATGGTAACACCATCCCCGTTTCTACTTCCGATCACAAGGGCTACCAGACACTAAACGACAACTACATCTGCAGCACGCCCACCCACGAGTCCTCGCCAGACAACAGCAAGAGCTTCTCCGAGGCGTCCGACAGGCGGCCGCTCAACCTGAAGGAGAGCCACGTGGAGTATTCGCCCACCTGCCCGCGGCCCAGAGTGAGGCTCGGCTCTGAGATCAAAGACTCTATCGTATGAGAGCACAATGTCCACTACAAAAAGATGCCACCCTGTATCTCCAAGAAGGTAACAGGCCACAGAGCGAAGGAGAGGAGACCCCCGACATCCTTCTTCATCACAGCACAGCTTTTATTTTAGCCATCTTTGTTCTGTGATCAGTGCGGAGGTCATTTCATTTTCCCATTTCCACTCCGACAGCCAGAGGATGGTCTGATAGGTAGAAAGAGGACGCAGGACAATACTTCAGTTTCAACAAAGATTTAGAGCCGGGGCAGCTGACGCGCTCTTCGTTGGAGTCATTTCATGAGCTACCAACATGCAGGGCTGGGCAGTAGTATAGAGATAAAACAGAAGATGTTCTTCTGAATCAGTGTTCATCAGAGTTTCCCTTTAGGTTTGTAAGATTCAACAGCACCATCACATCATCTGACAAAACAACATCAACATAGATTAAACTACCGCTTTATCGCCCAGTCCTGTTTTAGTTTATACAACCTTCATGCTCTGCAGAAGATGGCCGCCACATCATCTCCACTGTAGTGATATTATTATGCACTATCAAACCAAGCAACAGCTATGCCATGACCAAGAGTTCAGGTTTTGAATCATGTCAGAAGTCATTACGATCCACACATCATGGAAGTGAGTCAGAAGCACATTTGTTCTGGATAAATGTCCTGACCGAAAGTCGAACGATGCAGACCAGGAGAGAGCAGCACACCTTGGTTAAGTACAGCCCCTTTAATGCTGTTGGAACAAGGGATCAAGAACCACATCTCCAGGGGAGGCGATCAATAACTGTGATCATAAATAAATCTCCTGGGATGTGGAAACTGACATTTACCTCCTGAATGTGGGTTACAGTTGAAAGAAGGTCTGTTCCATTCACACCACTACACCGCGGACGATTCAGGACTCTCACTGCAGCGCGGCCCACCTGAAGTCAGCTGTGTTCTCCAGTATTGATCTGCAGGGACGACGGCGAGCTCAGAAACTGACACGGTGGGGAAACAGAGCTGACATTTCGGGCGACGTCCACTCCTTCATGTTTCGGGCAGCACCAGAATCATCATGTGCACTGTGCCAAAAAATCCAAAATAACTTGATTGTCTTACCTAAATGCAATAGTGCCATCGAGTCATGACCACTCCCATGTTTTGTGTTTGCATTGATCACTGTTAAAAGAGCACATGGTGATGAAACTAGAGGTGGGTTTCACTAAAGTAACGCGGCACTAATAATAAATATGAAGTGCAAAAACGGGAGTTTCTTGAAGACTGTTATCTCAAAATGAACATTTTTAAGACTGTGTTGGGCTAAATATTTGACTTCAATGTAAGATCTGAACTGGGGCCAAAGGATGTGGCATTAAGATGACTTCATGAAAAATCTCTTGTGGTTGTGAAGTGAGAAAATGTTGCATTTTTATTGTCATCTGCTGCTTTTAAAAGAGTTTTCTGCAGCTAAAAGATACAGGTACAACCAATTCAAGGCTAACAACATAAACTTTCGGAACCCTCACAAAATAAAATGAACTAATATCTGTCACTGTAGTGGAGAGAGAACTTCTGGTCTTGTCCAGACTGCAGCTGCACTATGTAGTGATGTAGTTGCACAGAACAGTCTAATAGCTCAGTTGAACCCCCCGCCGGGATACATTTCTTACATTCATGGCATTCACCAAACTCAGATGTCAAGGTGACGTTAATGTGAAAGCACAAGTAATCAGGGTCTTGAATACTTACAGGTTTGCACTTGTCAGAAAAGATGGAGCAAATTCCAAGAAATGCAACTACTGAGAGACAGACGGTGTGGCTGTTTTGAAGCAATCAGTTCTAACAGGGACCAGTGCAGCCATTACAAACACTCTCACACCCGCATCGCTGAGGGTCACTTTTGAGACTTACAAGCAGAGTTTTCCAAAGATGTAGGAAGCTGACAGTGTTGTGTAAACCTGAATAAGAACCATTTACATGGCCATAGGGAGGATATAGCACCACATGTCTTAGAATACACCACCAATTCACTGTATTGATTAAGTAAATTTACAATATATATTCAAGTGTCATACAGATTTAACATTTTGCTATATCAAACACTGAGCAGGTGACAAAATGCTATGTCACTGCTACAAGTTGACAAAGTAATTGCACAGCATACTGCGCAACAGTGGTCAGTGTTTGAGTTTTGATTTCATTTTTGTTGTGTATATAAAGTATCTGTGCTTAATATTGAGTGTTTTTAAGGGACCTTGTGCAAGATGTGTTGTAGAGATAGTCTTGAAACTAGAGAGTGAACACTGCTGATATTTTGTTTTTAGTGCTTTACTGCCTATTTCAGCATACATTTCAACCTGGCACTGAAGAGTGCACACTTCTCCGGCTGGTTTTCTCACGAGCATGTCAAAGCAGGAGGAGATCTGGTTTACATTTATGATCAACTGAATTAAAGGAGTAGTTAGGAGTTTTAGAAGACTGGTTTGTTTACTTTCTGTCCTTGAATTAGCCGAGAAATTCAACACCCTCAAGTTTAACTATTGGCTAAGCTTAGAGACTTGGAACAGCTCTGACTCTGGCTAAACTTAACAAAACTACTGAGATAACACCCCTGGACTTCTGTACCTCAGTCCTGTTCCTCCCCTCAGCCAAGGAGTTGTCCTACACGTAACCACCTGCAATAAAACTGCATCATTTCTTCTTTTCGGTTTCTTATTTTATGTTCTGAGAGAGAAATCATCGCTGATATTTCTGAGAGTTGATGGGAGATTTTGTTGCATTTGGACAGAGTCAGACCAGCTGTTCCTTCCTCTTTGTCGTCTTCATGTGACGCAAGCTAACATTTTCAAACAAGACTTAGAATACCGTTCTGGTGGCTTGCTGCCCTGCTTTGAGATGCTTGAGAAAACCTCATAACATGTTTTCAAAATGCCTTCAGATGTCAAGTTGTTCTGCCTTTAGCCATGTGCCACATCGTTCACTACCCAGCAGTGACCTCGCCAACAGACATGTGGTGGATGGCGTGATTGTAGCCCTTTGTGGGCACACTTTACTCCACAACACAACACAACACGGGTCAACAGTAGATTTACAAATCCACACAAGCCGCTATAGACTTAACCTGCAAACAATAACACTGGGAGCTGCTCAAATCCTTGCAACTTTCTGCAGTCTTTGCTTGTGTCAGACGTGCACATAGAAACCGTTTATCTAAACATTCAGTATTTAACAGTAATACTAACCAATAGAGAAGTTACAGAGAAAATCCCATTTGACCTTAATAGTTCATCATGCAAAAAAGCTAGATGCTGTGTGTTAAATGCATCTTTACTAATGACTTTGTGCTTTTCTTAAAAAGTGATAAAACCCCAGGTCATTTTTGAGTGGCTCCTCAGTAACGCAACATACTGTACTGGACATGAATGTAGCCAACTCTGTTTTATAGAACATCTACTGCAGTCTATTTTCCTAAAACTGCTCAAGTAGGAGATCCACTGCAACGACTTTTCAGGATTTTGTTTGACTGTCATAGTACCAAGAAACAGCACAATAGAAGTAACTATTAGTCCTTTGTGCTGCTCATTGTAGTCCTGCAGTAAGAGACGCCAGCACCGCTCCAAATCGTCCACATGGAGACACAGCGACTGCTTTGCCTCAGCATACTGAACACCATCAGCTTAGATGACTGAATAACTATTAGACAAATGTGGTCTTGCCTGCATGATTTCTTTTTTCTTTTTTTTTCTTTTTTTTTTTTTTTTTGTTGTGTAAAAATAACATTGTGAACTGTATTTTTTGTATCATTGAGGTTGTGACTGTTGTTTTTATTATATTGTACATAAAAAGCACTTTATTTTAATTTTTTAAGATAAATGAATAAAATACATGTTTTGACACATGCATGTCGGAGTCCTTTTTCTTGCTTATTGGTCCTGAAAGACATATTCAACAGACTGATGAAAAAAAAAAAAAAAACTTTGATTAAAAAAATGTAAAGATGATGAAGATATAAATAGAAATTATGTATAAAAATGACAACCATGTGCATATAGAGGACATATTAGTGATGGGCCCAGCAGTTCTTTTAGATGTCTGGAATCACTAGAATCAGTTCACTAAAAAGATTCGTTCACCAAATCACAGAATCATTTAGTGGGAGAAGCCTGCGACTCTGACCTCCTGAACTGATACACAGCTGAATGTTTCAGGATTCAGTTCAATTAAAAGCTTCTGTGACCAGGAGAGGAGAGTGTTTGGCTGTGTTGCTTTGGCAAACAGGTTCGTAAAAATGAACTTGTTAATAAGTCATGATGTGTGGTCTGCTCGGTAAATTGGGGTCAGTGAGTGATTCGTTCACTGAACGTTGAGAAGAATTCACACTGAACTTGCACCGTTTCCTCACAAACCGCTGCAATGACAGGATGCTGCTGGTTTAATGCACTACTTGTTACATGCTGTGTCCTAGTATATGCATGTATGTGGTCCCTCGTTCGCCGGCTGCTGGCCTGGTAATGCTGTTTCTCACTTCAGCTCAACTGAAGTGAATAACAAACGAATAACTCAAGGAAGTGATTCGGTTCAGTACTTTACTTAAAAGATTCGGTTCTTTTGAACGAATCGTTCGTGAATGGAACAACACTAGTACATATGCACCAGTCTTATAAAGTAAACTGTATTGAAAACAATAATATCATTTAAACAAAAATGTACATATTAGAGAAGATTTTTTTTATAAATGCCATCTAGATCCCTAGTCTATTATTGCATCGTTGAGTATACACACTTGCTTGATTAAAGATATTAATTCTAGTTTTGGTTAATGACTTGTTTTAGTTAATTATGTTTCACAAGGAGGTTTGTGAAAACATCAGTGAATCATTAAACTTGCTCGCCAACAGATGCTTATGTGAGATTTTTCCGTCTTAGATTCATGTATGCAGTGGCAGCCTCTTTCTTCACTCTTCTCTGGCACAGATTTAAGCTGCTGAACACCAGCTGACTTGTATCATCCAATCGTTTTCAAAGAGGGTTACAGAACGGTCACCATAACCTGATTTATTTTGTTTGCTCTCTGGTCATGGATACATTCAGTCCCAGAGGGCGGCCCTGTCATAAACGTCAGCTTTGTGAATCAATACATACAGTTATTTTGGGACGCAGTGTGTAGCTGCCAGCCGGTATTGAATGCTGTTTACTCAGAAGGGACGGAAAGATGATGACACCGGGACTGTACGTCTCACTGCTGCTCCGTTTGATCATGGTACAGGACAGATTAAGACTTGTTTTATTAATGGTTTGTCTCTCTGCTCCATCTGATCCATATCAGGATTAAATTAAGAGGACCAGGACATGATAAATCAGGTTTCTTTACATCTGTTTATGTCCATGTACCACAACAAGAAGCCGAGGAAGTTTAACAGAGCCTCTTAACATTTCTTTATTTCTCATCAAGTCTTGACACAGCTGCTGCAAACATCTAACTTTTTTAATGATCACAATTACCACTGTCAAACTAAGGCAAAGTTACAGATGGTCTCCTCCGAGAGAGGGATAAAATGTTTCATCTGCCATAATTATATATGACAGGTTTAATCTGGCCTGTCAATGTGCACAGTGACTATGCTCAAAAGAAACTCGGGCTCACTCAGTTTTTAAATGAAAAATTCAGTCCATTAGACTTTATAAACAAACACCAGATGATTACTGGAGTTTATTCTTTCTTTATCAGAATGCCAACTCTTTACTGCAGTTGTCACCTTCTGAAATATGTTTTGACTTCTTTACACACTTGACCTACTGCTCGTACATCTGCTTCTTGAAAGTATGGAGGGTCAATTGTCCAGCCTATAATGTGGCTATAATGACCTATAATGACATATACTCTGAAAGTTCACTTACTTTGCCTTGTTGCCATTGATAAGAAACTTTTGCACGAAGAATATCTGGTTTAAATGCCTGGATTTGTAAATTCAGATCATTGCATACTGTTCTGTGTATAAATGTTCTGTGTAATACATTTCTAAAGTTTGTCCACAGCTCAATAAGCTTTGCAGGTGGAGGCGGGATTTATGACCTATACTGCAGCCTGTCACCAGAGGGTGCTGTTCTCAGGGTGGCTTCACCCAACGAGGAGGCAGATGGCGTCCGTCTATAGACTATAGACTATATATAGTCTATGGTTTACGCACATGCTTTGTGCCACCTCGGCATAAGCCACTGCCCCAAGTAAAACACACTAACCCAAAAAGTCTGGACACACCCCTGATTAGTCCATATTTGTCAAACTTTTTTCACTCCATTCAGTATTGATCCTAAACCTGTCAAGTTTAGCCTGAGTCAGTATTCTGTGAAGCCTTCAACCCAGAACCAGCTCTCTGCAGAAACCCCAGCTCAGACAGGCCTGTGCATGTGAATAAATCTCCCCTTATTGATGTCCTAACACCCCTGCTGGGACAGAGATCAGCTGCCAGCAGGAATAATAGGCTTCTTCCTTCAGACCTCCCATGTGTGTTTAAGAACTCCTGGTCAAACAGGCAGACAGGTTTGTGACTGTGACGAGGACTGTGATCCAGCATGTTCCCTCACAATGACTCAGAGTTTCAAAAACAAGAAGCAGCCTCCGTTCTTTGCCTCTTTTTTCCCCTCACACTTCAACCCCATGTCTGTCCATCTGTCTGTCTGTTTTTTTTTTCTGCAAATCACGCTAAATCTCGATGTCTCTTCAACGCTCAGACAGACTCAATTTACTTTCAACACCAGCCGCTCATCAGCTGTCACCGCCCATTTGATGAAGAGCAAAGACAGTAATTTGCTATTCATTATTAACAAATCACTGTGCTGTGAAAAGTGCCTTTTGTTTGCCTCAGCCTTGAAAACAATTACAGTCAGCACGCGTTTCAGCAGTGATTGCATTGCATATTTCATGGCAATGCTTCGTTGATGGTGTAATTGAAAAGCAGATTTACTGTTTCACAGTCAATGAACCGAGCGGGAGCTCTTTAAATCAATTCAGCTCAACTTCCAAGGTCACACATCATCTCATGTCTTTTCAAACTTGATTGTTAATGATTTTAACTTAATGATGACTTTGGCTTATCTCTTAATTTCCTCAACATATCATAATTAAAGAAGGTCATCTGAAAATAGATTTAATACCTTCTTATCATCGAGTTTGGGTCAGTCTTAATGTCAGGAAAGGACACTGATTTTGCGGGCATACCAAAATGAGATAAAACAAATTAAACAGCAGATTGATTTTTGAGGGAATTTACCAACTCGCTTCCTCTTAGTTGATACAGCCCTCATGTTTGTACAGTTGAGACAATGCAGGAGCAGCTGAGGCTCCACTGGAGGCATGACTATCCAAATGAAACAGCATCCAACAACAACAGCATCTAAAGCAAACAAAAAAAATACGTAAAAGTACAATCCTTTGCTGTTTTTTCTGGGAAATTCTGCTGCAGAAAATAGCCAGTTCATGTCAAGTGTTGTTTGAACTGATGGACATTTCTCTTATGTATACGTTAATGATAAAGTGAGAGTAAATGAGGCTGAAATTGATGTAAAAGCTCAAGATTGTGGTGATGCTATTAAGAAGTCCAACAGATACCCCCAAATGTCATCCTGTGTCAAATTTTAAACTTTAAGGGATATCAACATTTGTGTGTTTGCGGTTTCTCTTTAACTTTACTTCACATCTCAGTGAACCATTTCCTCTAAAAGACTGATAATGATCAACAAAAAGGCACCAGTACTGTGCATGTGAGTGTGCACAGACTGTCCTGCTGACATGTGCTTTTTCATGAGTGTGGGCATCACATTTTCTTTCAAGGAGCTCAGCTGGCTCTGAAAAATGGTAGACAGAATCAGGGTTGTACAAAAGGCTAAAATGTCTCGATTGCCATCATGTGAAGAGGCCATGTGCACAAGGGTCAGCAGATGAAAGACCATTTAGAGGGGCTGAGGCCGAGCAGGGGCGCTCTATTTCTTTATTTCCCTACAGCAGAGCAACAATAGAGGCAAAGTGCTGGAACTGTGTTCCTTCACACTGCTCTGGTGATCGTTTTTGAGGATTGTTTGTATTTTAATAAACGTGCAGGTTACCCATGCCATGTATTCTAGCAAGTCAGTAGATGCTTGATTTTGCATTGTATGCAGTTAAAGCTAGTTGGACCCCCTCCTCATTAAAACATGGAAACCATGATTTCCAGCTCTGGCCCATAGGAGGCCATATTTTTAAATATGTTGCTGGCATTAAATTCATCAAATAAGCAGATCATTTTCAATTACAGTAACATTACTCTGTTTCGATGTTAAATCTGATGTTTTTGTGTTTACTTGTTTAAAACAAGGTTCCAGTGTCGGCATTGTGGCCAAAATTTGTTCTTTTCTTTAAGGAAAATGTGCATAATTTAAAGGGATATTCCGGCGTAAAATGAATTTAGGATCAAACACACTGAGTTAGACACCCCCTCGAGAGATGAATGTTACCGACCGCTTGCTTCTCTAGTTATACCAACTTTAGTAATGACTGCATGACCGCTGTGTATTGCTATCGTGCGGTCGTTACTAAAGTTAGTATAATTACAGAAGCAAGCGGTCTGTAACGCTCATCTCTTGAGGGGGTGTCTAACTCGGTGTTATGGTGTGTTTGACCCTAAATTAATTTTACGCCGGAATATCCCTTTAAGCTCAGTACTGTTGTAACACTTAAGATAATAAAACATACTTACTTATAAATACTTATAATAATTAAAATAACACACCTCTTTAAAGAAAAGTCATGCTTACATCTTTCATCTGAGTGACACTGGGGAAAATATTTGATTAAGATGGTATAAAAACTTCAGCTGCAGGTTGGAAATATTCAAATAGTTTCTTAACAGTGGACAACCATAGACTCATAGACCATCATGCACTGTCTGTCAGTGACCCTGCAGGTTCCAGGGGTAATATGTCTGGACCAGGTCTGTGCCTTTCAAAGTGCTCACATTAAAGCTGACAGGGTTTCTCGAGTGCAGCTGTGTGAATAAGGTTTGGTCGAAAATGACAACATTCATCTTTGCAGCTGGAAATTCTAGGACAAAATTTACATCTGAAAGCTGAGTCAATTCAATACATTATTGTAAAATTTCTCCTAATTTGTACTTTGACACTGGACTATTCAACACCATATATAGCACGACAGCAGCTCTGACATGACAATACATTTTACCCAGTGCTCCACTATCTCCACAAATTCAGCAGAGGAGCCGTACAGAGACGAAGCCTCTGCTCTGAATTTCATTAGATAAGCTGACTGCGTCCTTTCTTTGCATTCTGTGTCTCTTATTACCACTGAGCACCTCTCCTCTGCTCTGTTTAAAGAAAACTTGCCAGAGCCCACAGTCAGCCTGTCAGGCCTTATGCTTGAATTTAAGGGAGATCTACCCAAAGCTGTGAGCAAAGCAGCGGGTATGATAGTGGATATGGTTTGGATTTTCTCAATTTTAGGCATCTTGCTGATTCTGCGTTTATTCCTCATCACTATTCAGCTCTTCTGCTGCCTCTCCCACTATCTGAGATGGGGAAAAAATCTCAGCTGGTGACTTAATCACAAACCCTGTAATCTGAGAACTGAAGGTACAAACTGGATTTCAGTGCAGAGGCAGAGTTCATCGACAATAAAAGGGCTGAGAAGAACCTTACCAGCCTCTGAATGCTAATCAGAAATATGCAAGTAGTGCCATTACAAAGGACAAACACTGTTCAAGGGCAGTGATTGGCTCATGAATAACCATCCTGTGTTCATCTACTGCCTGCTTTTGTACCTCATATAAACTACCTCTGTTCTCCTCTTTCTTTAAGCAAGAAGACCATTTCATATACTCTGACTTCTATAGTCTGGTATGTCTGCTTTACCGTGCTAACACATCCCCTACTCACAGAAGATTTAAAGTAGGTTCAGAGAAAGGTTAGTGTTTGCTGCCATCTAGTGGTCAGTTTACCACTGTCCTCAGACACACTGTAATTACTGTAAATTTAGCAGACTTCAGTGTTACACAACATACAGAGAGAGCACAGATGTATCCTTTCCTTACTCACAAATCATGTGGGCAGGTTGTTATATCTAGTGTAATAATAGGAAGTCTATAAAGAACTACTCTATGCTACTCATGTTCATTTGTAACAGCCTTTTAAACATGACGAAAAAATTTATGAATGTGATCTTAGAAATTTAATGCAGTGTGTATGACAGAGTTCTTCAAGGCAGAATAGTGGTTATAGCTTAAGCCAGTATAAAGAACAACACTGACATCACAGGCCAGTAATACTTATAGCAGCACACTGGTTTCACCTGCTGGTCATTAGGCTTTAAAACGTGGATGTTTTCACTGTTCAGAAGTTCTTCTCTAGAAACTCGACATTGCTAAACTTGTTTATGTTAAGGTGTATCTAGCAGCACTTCACAATCTAATGGATGAATAAATATTGTAGTTGGTTTGTGTAAACAAATACATCATCTTTGATGCTGCGCTGTATTTATGAAGTGCTTCAGAGAGCCTGACGTGTAACTATTGAAGGAGGTAAACAGTTTGCATGTTTGTCTTATGAACTTTAATTTCTTTATTTGACTGCGTCTTTATTAAAAGGTGGTTAAAATAGAGGTGGGTTGCTGTCTTCGAGCCTTTTATCATGTGAATGGATGATAAAGCTGATGATTGAATCGGTTTATGACCTGACATGTAAATTAATCACTTTGATTGGTCTGTTAAGCTCTTTTTTAACATCACAGAAGTTATCTGGCCTATCTTGGCAGCTGCTCAGAAAATTATTGTATTATTTGAATTTTTCCATATGCCAACAGAAAACATTGGTTTCAGGAGTCTTATTGGGGTCATTAATGCAGAAATATATAGAAAAGGAAAGAGTAATTATAAAATATTGGCAGCATCTATGCTTTTATTTATACCTTTTTGTTTTATCTAAATCTTTATTTTTTTCTTTAAGTTGTCTTTTGTCATCTCTCACTCTACTTATATAAAATGTTTAAAATAAGAAAGGTGATATTCTATGATGCAACTATCAGAACTGAAATAGCAAATATTTACCTTTCACTGTTATACCACCAAAAATAATCCACAAAGGTTTCAGATTACGTAAAGAAATAAACAATTCAATGTCAACATCCAGAACAACTCAGGCAAGCATGAACTAAAAAGATACACTTTATTTGAAACCAGCAGGGGACATTATTGTACAAAAATACACAACTGTTACGCAGATATTTGTGTCAAGAATTGTTCATCTCTCTCCCGCTGCTCACACCACTGATGCTCCTCCGCATGCAGCACCAACAATGGACAACCGCTAACTTGCTCAGACATAAATTTACCGTGTAAAATAACAAATCCGACAAGCAATGTCATTTGCCATAGGGAAGAATGTAGGATCCTAGATTCTTGAGTCTGGACACAAATGACAGATCCATTCTCATAAATATCAGGAAGAATGCTGAACATGGGATGTTTTCGAAAACACTGAGCTGAATGAGTCTCGGACATCATTCTTTACTTGGACTTAGTGCTTCCATTTCCCCCTTCTGCCCCTTCTGCCGCTTTCTTCTGCTTCTGTTGCATTATCTCCGCATCCCTGGAGAGTGACAGAAAAGGTAGTTAGGACAGAATCTAACAGTAGTCAAACTTTTATTAAATTCATGTAGGAAAATATGCCTCTTTTAAAAATAGTAAATGTTAAACAACTACTCCTTCAAAAACACTTTTTTTGGTTTGTTTGTTTGTTTTTGCACAAGGAAAAATCACAAAAGACAAAAAAAGGGGACCTCCCCAAACCAGGCTGATGCTGAAGGTAAAAAAATAAAAAGTTACAACTCTCCTGCAAAGTTTGTGAGAATTACCATAAAGTAAACATTTGCCTACCTTTGCTTCCGAGCAGCGGCAGACAGCCCATCCTCGTTCCTCTTCCCTTTCCCATGTTCATTTTGTTTTTTAGCATTCTTCTGGCGCGCTAGCTCACGTTGGTTTCCTCCTGCGTGAAGTCACATAAGAAGAAAACATCCATGCATCAGAACAAAAGAGGTTTCAATGAGCAATACAACAGGTATGTCAGCTACACCCTTAAAAAACTCTATTACTTAACACTTGAAAAAGCAAATCAAATGCATTTTAGGGTTAATTGATGCACACTCGAGATGAGAGAGGGCATTTTAATATAAAGTAGAGCTGTATATTGAAGTGTTGCAGGTCGTGGAAGTAGCCGACGTGGCAGAGAGGCGCTCCAGAGCAGCTCCAGACCCACAACACAAGCACGGAGGACAGCAGTCTGCCAGGGCTGGACGGCGACGGGATGTTAAAGGCGAGACACAAAAGACAAAAACACCAATAACGCACAAAAGAAAACGATTAATCGATGTATCGATTTGTTTTAACACGCGTTACACCTAATGTTGGCACTAGGGTACTTTTTGTCTTCTAACGAAGTCGATGCGTTGAGAGGAGGCTCTGACTATAAACTGGAAAACAACACTGGCCTATTTATGTTGACAAACGTACGTGGCACACACTGCAACACACACAACAGCATCCACTAATCTATTACGCTTAACTCTTCTAATGTATTATAATGTAACTGTCTGTATAATCTATGAACCCTGTAAATAACAGACGGAATGAATTTATAAGAGAAAATCGTCAGGATGTGTCTGTTTCAGCAATTAGACAGAACCCGAGGTCGACGGTGGCCGAAATCAAACGGCGTCAAAAACGACCATGCAACCGATATAAGTACTTGAATCTCTTACGGCCAAGATATATGTCGATACCCACTGGTCATTTTAGTAATCGACGCTTCTTTCGCCCGGATCCAAATGTGCTTAGCCGTAGGGCCGTCGGTTCCCCTCTTGTCTCTCCAGTCGCTGCCTGCTTGGGTTGAGCCTCACTGTGGCTGCCAAGTCTACGCGAGACTTCCGTGCGAGACCCAGAACATTCCGTCTAGTCCCAGTCGCCGCGCATGCGCCTGACACGGTCAATTATAGTCGAGCAATAATCGATTTTAATCGCAAATGGTGATCGGCCCATTATGTTTACCCCTCAAATGTTGTGATACTATAGGAGCCCGTGTTTATACATGTTAGTCCAGTAATAATTAATTGCATTTCCAAAGGAAGCAACAATAAACGTGTTTTGTATTTAAAGAACAGAATCTCTGTGTTAAGTGTTGTTTCCGAGTGGAATAATGTTTGTTCTGATGTAAACTGGAAATCAAGCTGGTGCCAACCTATGAAAAGCCTATTTGATCACAAATCAGGAAAAGGACATATTTCTTGAAAGAAGTCACCATTCATTATCCCTGTAAAGACTCAATGAGAATATTTATGTGAATTGCTTTTTTTGTTAAATATATTCCCAATTGATTTCTCAACATTGTGATACAAAACATTTTTCCATCATTTGTAAATGTAATGTTTATTACTTTTTATTACTGTTAATGTTTTTTACTTTACAACTCCTAAAACTTGGATTGAGTTACTTTGAGATTTTATTTTAATCAGTCAAACTACATTTAAACTTTTTTAATCTTTAAACATAAATCCAAACAATACATTGAATCAGTAATCAATCAACCAATCAATCAATCAAAGTTTATTTATATAGCACTGTTCATACAAATGAAATTGCAGCTCAAAGTGCTTTACATCAGGACATGAAATATAGAAGTTATTTAAATAGACTAAAACAGACAACAATATATTAACTTAAATTTATTAATAAAATACGGTAAAAAGTGATACGAAAAATAAAAACAAATCAAGCTTTACATTAAAGCCAGGCTAAATAGATGAGTTTTTAGGTTACATTTAAAGATTTCTATATTTGCAGCTTGTCTCAGATCCTCTGGAAGTTTGTTCCACAGTTTTGGAGTGTAGCAGCTAAAAGAAGCATCACCAAATCTTTTTGTTCTGCTCTGTGGAACGACTAAAAGAGAAGATTGAGAGGATCTGAGAGGCCGCCCTGGTTCATAAATTAAAATCATCCTTGCAAGGTATTCTGGTGCTAGGCCATGTAGAGCTTTATAAACTAGTAAAAGAATTTTAAAATCAATGCAAAAACTAACAGGCAGCCAGTGCAAAGACTTTAAAATGGGTGTAATATGAGCTCTTCCCCTGGTCCTTGTCAAAACTCTAGCAGCAGAGTTTTGAGTCAGCTGTAGCTGGTTTATTGTGCTTCTGAGTAAAAATATATACTTAAAAGCCTATGTGACTTTTTATATTTCCTTGATTAACATTTGTTGTTTTCTATTTCTGATTACATTTTGTCCCCTTGGCATTTCTTGTTTGTGTATCAGCCTGTATTTTTCAATACAATCTGTTTTTTAAGCAACTGATAATTACAGCACAGTTCAGATAAGCCAGAGTCACTTCAAATCTAGTGATTTGAGATCTACTGTTATTTAGAGATAACAGAGAATTTCTACTTTCAACATTCTTTAATTTTGGTTTTAACCTGCTGTGTGAAAAGTCATCAATGGGCCCTGAAGATCACCAATCTAAAGATTATGCATCAAATTAAATCTACTACAGCTACTGTTCTTACATTTTATCACTCAACTGTTTTCACATATTTCATTTGTGTTTTACTCTTGGTTTGTTGTTGTTGTTGAGTTGTGAGATGTCTGGCCCACAAGGTTCGCCCAGGTCTTATTTTTTTTACATTTTAGGACCGCACTGTAATTGTTAGTAACAAAGATGATACATGTATATCCATATATCAATGGCTTTTTGACAGCCCATGTTTCTGCTGCTGGTGAACCAAATTACTGTTCCTCCCATTCCAGCCGTACTGTACTAGTGTCTTCTGCATGCTTACTGCTAGAAACTTAACTAGAAACTTGTTCTTCTTGCTGATTTGTCTACTGTCTGTGAAGTTATTCTTGCGAAAAGTTATCCTTAAGAAAGCCAGCAGGTGGCAGACTTTGCTAATGTAATTTAGGAATGACAGCTGTTGAATTACAGGAGGATCCAACAGAAGGTCTTGACAGAAAAGCTGCTAATTGATTAAAAAAATAAGTTTAATGAGTAAGCTAATTCTTAAACACATTGATAAATTACAAAAATATACATCAGTGTTGTGCTAAACAGAATTTTTACATGTAAAATCAACTGAAGTTACTGGTTTTAGTACTTTATTTATTATAAATAGCTTTGAATCTTTTATTAAACCACAAGATTTTATTTGACAGTTGGATATTAATAAAGTAAGATTCCTCTGATAATGAGGAATTACTGCCCAGATGCGGTTTAAAGTGCAAAATAGAATCTCTTTAACAGTAATTTAGAGTTTTATTTCTGTTTTCAGCAATAAGAACCACATCATGTTTTCCTTGCAGATGTGGAGGAGGGATTTTATTGACCGTCTGGCTGTTAAACAAGCTAAAGGACTGAGTCATGTCTGCCCTAAACTGAACTCTAACCCACACACTAAAACTGTGAATCCAATAAGACGACTTACTTAGCCTGAATGTGCTTAAGGCGCTGTAGGTAGCACAAAGTAATTACACTGCTTGAGCAGAATTTGAGCAAATCATACCAAGTTAAGTTCAACTGTACTCTTTGTAATGCCAAAATGATAAGAACTTCACGCTCCACGTATATCATAAGGACGAGAAATCTCAAAATATGAGTGTGGCAGTTGAAATGAGCTTATAGGAGCAGAATAAAAATAGGGCTGGGTTTCTTGCAGAAAGACAAATACAGTATTTTAAGGGTGTAATTACTGTTTGAATACAATGAGCCATCAAACTACAGCTGTGATTGTCTCACTAACGGTCTATTTGGGTGAAGAATAAGCTCTCCATGGAATTTAATTATATGCTGTAAACTTGCTTTGCTCTGCTGCACTCCACATATATTTTCTTAATGGGTGTTTGGAAAAGTACTTTGACAGATAAAAGAAGAGCAAAAAATGGTTTCCCAATATTGTGTCATCAAAGTGGACAAAAGTGTTTATTTCTGTCAGACTTTCACAACAGGCAGCAAATGCAGTGAACTTCTGTGTGAATTTGACCAAACAAAGAGCACTCAGCTCAAAATGCTCCTATCTAATATGCAGAATTGTTAATACCAATATTAGTTTATTCATTATGTGTGCAAAATCACATTTATCCAATTCATTTTGAAAGTGCTGGGACCTAAACCAAAAACTTGGTCCAGACATTTGACCTTTCGCTAAAACTGTAAACCAATGGTAGCTTTGAAACAAATATCAGGGTTTACCAAACTTGCTGAGATTCATCCCCTGAGCACCATGAACAACTGTAGTAAATATTTTAAGTCTTTTTCGCCTTTCCAATTTTTCGTGACATGTTTCTTGTTAAAGACACAGTGGGGAGTTTTTAACTAGTTGAAAAACAGGCAGAGACTGATACTAATGGCTCTCTATGATCTTCAAAAGCAGACCAGACCATCAGCAATAACACTGATAATTCCTTTGTTGTAATTCTTCATGCCTACAACCACTCTGATGGGGTAGGTATCAGACCAGATGACTCTTAGCAGACTGAAAAACAGCCTTCAATTTTTTTCTCTGTGACAAACTCTCACTTTTAGTGATGCTTTCCATCTTTCAAGACAACAACATGAGGTTTTGTCTGAAAGCGCTACTTTCAAATGTACAGGGCATAAGATAAGAGGTATCCTTTTATCCACAGGGGGAGCCAGAACCAACATGAACTAAAAGATCCTCACAGCGGCTTTAAGGGTTAAGAGCGAGGAACTTAAGAGGTTGACATGTGGCCATCATGAAATGACAACAACATATTAGAGACCATGTCAGTTCCCTTACAAAGGGAACTGTCACAAAAAGAGGTTTGATGGGATGTGGCTGCTGTCATTCACACATGCACCCCACTCTTAAATCTCAGAAAACTGTTATGCATAGCAGTACAGTCATCAAGACTAAGTGCCAAGCCTGTAAAAATGCTCGCAATCAGGAAATTTTCAAGAGTTAAGCGCACGTGTGAAAAGGGCTATGGATATTGAATTACCACTAACATTTTCATAGTTCATGAATCAGTTTTTTATGAGTGCAGCAGACAGAACTTGAGGTTTTGGAAAATATCAATGACCCATCCAAGAAGTGCAAGAGACAGCTTTATCCTGTCCTGATTGCTCATACTTGTCAGGACTTAATAAATAGTTGACTGATTTCCTTTAGGATTGTGAACCACATATGACCAAAAATATGTCTGTATAGTATCACCGATGAAACGGATGTCTTGTTTAAGTTTCAGGTCCTCATGCAGGAGTAGCTCACACCTGATTTCTTTTAACTTTTGGCTATTGAAATCTAATTGTTGCCCCAGAATGAAAATATTCCTGATATTAGACACGATTGTATCCTTGAGGCTGTTTATTGATGGCACTATGAAAATGTCCCAGACATACCACATATTTTATAACTAGAAATTGCAGACTTGTAAATAGAAAAGGAAAATCAATCCTACAGATATATGGTGGATGTAGTGGAGTTTTATACTTGTTGCGTGCTGCAGCCTGAAGACTTCACCATCATGTAGAACAGCGTGTCAAACACTGCGGTCAATTTATTGGGCTGGTGGCGACACAGGACAGCCCAGGATGTCTGCCTCTGACATGTTTTTCCCCACAGCTGCTTTCAGTGAGAGCGTCCTGCTTCAAGCAAGTTATTTTTGTCCCACAGTGCAATTATCACCACCTGGTAATTTTGACAATGTTGACTGCTTCTGCGTGTACGTGCCTCTAAATGTTAATGCTGTCCTCAGGTGACTGCAGCTACAGCGTACAAGTTCCATGTCAC